TTAAATCATCTAAATATTTTGCATCATCATGCCAAATAAAATGACGCCTTCTCGTTTAGTTAAATTCTAAAAAAATTTAAAAAAAATTAAAACAGAAAAAATCTAAACCTTTTTTAGAATATTAGGGTCTTGTGTAAAATTATTTTTTGAAAAGGCATTTTAAAGCACAGTGGGTTTATTAGGCAAAACATTTCAAAACTTTAAATGTTGAAAAATACGAAACCTTTGCTCATTCTAAAGTCTAATTTAAAGTCTAACTTTAAATACATATATTTTAGAAAATTAGGGTCTTGAATAAAATTATTGTTTGAAAAGACATTTTAAAGCACAGTGGTTTTTTAGGCAAAACATTTCAAAACTTTAAATGTTGAAAAATACGAAACTTTTGCTCATTCTTAACTTTAAATACATATATTTTTAATTTTATGTAAAAATCTTAATTTGTGGTGAAAATCGTATGTTTAGATGAGCATAGGATTTTGAGGTGAAAATCGATTTTTAAGGTGATATCTGACTTGGGGTGTAAATCAAATTTTTTTAAGTGAAATTCAGATTTTATGGAGAAGGTGTGGTTTGAGGTAAAAAAGCATTCGTATCGAAGTTATGCTTAAGTCTATTAGATATTTTTTGATATCGAATGTCATAATCAATGCGGAATTCTGACATGTGGTAGTAATCTATAGTCTAGAATATAGACTAGACTATAGACTAGACTATAGACTAGACTATAGACTAGACTATAGACTAGACTATAGACTAGACTATAGACTAGACTATAGACTAGACTATAGACTAGACTATAGACTAGACTATAGACTAGACTATAGACTAGACTATAGACTAGACTATAGACTAGACTATAGACTAGACTATAGACTAGACTATAGACTAGACTATAGACTAGACTATAGACTAGACTATAGACTAGACTATAGACTAGACTATAGACTAGACTATAGACTAGACTATATACTAGACTATAGACTAGACTATAGACTAGACTAGACTATAGACTAGACTATAGACTAGACTATAGACTAGACTATAGACTAGACTATAGACTAGACTATAGACTAGACTATAGACTAGACTATAGACTAGACTATAGACTAGACTATAGACTAGACTATAGACTAGACTATAGACTAGACTATAGACTAGACTATAGACTAGACTATAGACTAGACTATAGACTAGACTATAGACTAGACTATAGACTAGACTATAGACTAGGCTATAGACTAGACTAGATAGACTATAGACTAGACTATACTACTACGACTATAGACTAGACTATAGACTAGACTATAGACTAGACTATAGACTAGACTATAGACTAGACTATAGACTAGACTATAGACTAGACTATAGACTAGACTATAGACTAGACTATAGACTAGACTATAGACTAGACTATAGACTAGACTATAGACTAGACTATAGACTAGACTATAGACTAGACTATAGACTAGACTATAGACTAGACTATAGACTAGACTATAGACTAGACTATAGACTAGACTATAGACTAGACTATAGACTAGACTATAGACTAGACTATAGACTAGACTATAGACTAGACTATAGACTAGACTATAGACTAGACTATAGACTAGACTATAGACTAGACTATAGACTAGACTATAGACTAGACTAGACTAGACTATAGACTAGAATAGACTAGACTATAGACTAGACTATAGACTAGACTATAGACTAGACTATAGACTAGACTATAGACTAGACTATAGACTAGACTATAGACTAGACTATAGACTAGACTATAGACTAGACTATAGACTAGACTATAGACTAGACTATAGACTAGACTATAGACTAGACTATAGACTAGACTATAGACTAGACTATAGACTAGACTATAGACTTGACTATAGACTTGACTATAGACTAGACTATAGACTAGACTATAATGTCATAACCCTATTGTACATATTTCTTTAAATATTTTGCGATGAAAGATGAACAAATTTTAATAATAATCTAATGCAGTCGGAAGTGCATTTTATAATCTACAAAAATTTAAAGAATTTTTATAGGCATTGTAACAAAGTACCGTGCAAGTATGATAAATATGTTTATCACATTTGTTTGTTAATGAAATAGTTCTTACTAAATATGTTTATATATTTTGGCGCCAAGTTGTTTATGAAATGAATATTCTAGATTTGCATATTATTTGTTAATGACAAACATATTAGACAAATTACTTTTATAAAAGATTAATCTCATTTTGTCTAGATAATATCATGGCATATATAAACTGCTATGCGAATTAATTAACCCTTTCACAAGAACTTTCATCCATTTAAGTTACCAAAATTAAAAGGTTTTATTGTACAGCTGACTTCTATCCAAATTAATAGTTCCATTTAGCTTAAATTTTCTTATTTTATAATTATTACTTATATTCAATTACTTTCGATATTTCCTTTATGCTATAATGAGACAAAAAATAACCCCATGACCCTTTTAAGTATTAATTTTTTTACAAAAATAAGAAAACATGAAATTAATGAAAAACCAACTGCAGAGGCAAAAAAGATTATTATCAAATGCAACAAATAAATATAAAAATGAAAATAAAACTAAAAACAAAATAGAAAATTCTCAAATCAAGACATGTGTTTGTTTTTGTTGAACTAATATAATGCAAATCAATCGAGGACAATTTCAATTGTATTTTTTTTTCTACTTTTCAATTTTGAATGAAAATAAATTTTCTACACGTTTCAAGAGTTGGCGAAACTAACAAAACAAGAAATTGAAATTTACTTAAGGGAAATCACAATCTAATTGAAATTGTACATTTCAGTTTAATTTTAAAGAGCAAAGTATTTAGAATAGAAATTTTAAAATAAATTTCTTTCGTCTTTTATTCATTAGCATTAAAGTAATTTTGTACAATTACGAAATAGTATATAGAAAATTAAAAAATTATTACTTTGAAAAAAATTCTCAAAATAAAATTTTAATGGAATTATTTTTGTGATTTAAAAGTATTTGCAAAATATACTTTTTACATTTTTAACTATTTTTAAATTGTAAAAAAAAAAAATAATTAAAAATAACAACAAGTATTTACATAACTAAAGTACATTTGTAACTAATTAGTGTATAAATTATCCACACAATGGGTATTCCAGATATACGACAACTGATAACTGTCGAATTTGAGGTGTATGGCCATGTGCAGGGTAAGTTTTCAAAAAGTGTATATTTTAAAAAAGAAGTAATACACAAAAAGCTAACACAATACACAAAAGATAAATGTGCTTAAAAGTGAACATCTTATTTTTTTATACAAATTTGATTTAAATAAATACGAAACTAATCGAAATTTTAATATCTTTTAAATAAAAAGAATTTTACGAATATTAGATGGAATCAAAAATGTTTAAACTTTACGATTCAAGCGAATTTTCAAAATGGCTATTATTATTTTAATGAATTTAGATTAAAAATCCATTTTTTTAATTTTGATTCTAAATTTTTTAAATCGGCCTCAAATATATTTAGAATTTTAATTTTTTACTAAATCTTCATGATTTAAAGATTATTTTAACAGCATTGAAAATAACAAAGTTAGGTTCATGTATTTTAAAAAGATAGTTCCTCTTCACACAAAACGGATCCTGTAATTGTACTAGATAATGATACTAATGGATTGATTGGTAATCTAAATAACGCAATGTTCAAATAATTTTAAGAATTACTAGCAGAATTAGTTCAGTATTATTCTTGATGTTAAAAGTTAATGGAAAATTAAGCTTAAAAAGTGCTTTTATAACGAGTTACCCCAATAATGAAGCTCCTTTCAATCAAGAGCGATTATCAACGATATATCAGCTTTGTCATGATAATAAAACGATAAGTAATATGCCACGTTGTTACACTCTTAAAAGCCACCTGCGAGTAGTTTGAATAAAATACATGGACAGACGGACGGTTTAAACCGATGTTTTGTATACTTTAAAGTAGACGTTGGACCATTTTCAGTACTTTTCAAAAAGTTCTCTTTTGTTTTAAGAGTCACTACAAAATCATAGTTTTCCATACCCGTCATGGATTACATTAATTAAATCATTTAAGTAGTGCATACTTTTAGGCTTAGTGGAATTTCGGAAATATTTTATTTACCTATAAAAATCCATATTTTTATAGGGAAGGACCGGATAAGCAAACATTTCAAAACTTTTTAGGTACTTTATGTCAAACGTTAAAGAAAAAATATCTTTATCTATTTATTTATCTATCTATCTATCTATCTATCTATCTATCTATCTATCTATCTATCTATCTATCTATCTATCTATCTATCTATCTATCTATCTATCTATCTATCTATCTATCTATCTATCTATCTATCTATCTATCTATCTATCTATCTATCTATCTATTGCAGTAAATTTTAAGAAAAAGGGAGAGTAAAAATTTAACTGTTTCATCGTTTTGCATTTAAATTTATCTTAATATCTATCTATCTATCTATCTATCTATCTATCTATCTATCTATCTATCTATCTATCTATCTATCTATCTATCTATCTATCTATCTATCTATCTATCTATCTATCTATCTATCTATCTATCTATCTATCTATCTATCTATCTATCTATTTATCTATCTATCTATCTATCTATCTATCTATCTATCTATCTATCTATCTATCTATCTATCTATCTATCTATTGCAGTAAATTTTAAGAAAAAGGGAGAGTAAAAATTTAACTGTTTCATCGTTTTGCATTTAAATTTATCTTAATATTGTTATTTATTTCTAATACTTCTATTGACAAAAATCTAAAGTGTAATTTATTTTTCAAAAACCATTCTGCTGGTTATTTTTAAACATCTTCTATAGAAAATTCTTGAAATTTACTACATTTAAAATTAGCTTTTTATATGCACAACAATTAAATTTACAAAATAAAATGTAATGAATTTAATGACAATTTGTTGGTATCATACTATGCGTGGCATTTATTTTTATTTTCCTCTTTAAAACAATAAGAAAAGAACACCCATGAATTGGGTAAAACAATAAACTACCTTGACTTTTTTCATTAATTCAATGTATTTTGCAAATACAATGTATGAAGATGAAATAACACAAACATTTACATACATATTACAAAAAATTCTAAAATTTTGTCATAATTTAATAACCACCTGTCTTCAATTACAGGTTGTTATTTCACCAAGTTTACCCGAGATTTATGCACTAAAGCGGGCATTACCGGATGGGTAAAGAATTCCAAACAGGGGACAATTGTTGGCAAAATGCAAGGACCTAAAGATGAAGTTGATAAAATGTATTTCGTTTTTTTTTAAATTTCATTTGTTTACTTTAAATAACAAATGTTTTTAATTATTTTGTATATTTTACAGGATTAATTGGTTGTCGACGAAGGGTTCTCCCGGTTGCCAAATTGAAAAATGTGATTTACGAAATATGGGTACATTAAATCGTTTAGATTATAAGACTTTCGAGATTAGATTTTAGTTTAATTTACTATTACATAATTAGATATTTTAGGACATAAGAACGATTATTAATTTAAATTTTGAAACTTTTTACCAAAGAATAAACCTTTTTACTTTGATTTGTATATTATTTTTGTATAATAAATTTTCCCAGGAAAATGGGAACCAAAAGTTATGGAAATTTTGAAAAACCAAAAAATTTTTAAAAGCATAATCGAAAAAATGTTTGTAAAATATTTTTTTTTTAACGACTTTGGCGGATAATGATGAAAAATCGATTTTTTGTGAAAAAAATCTAATAAACAAATTATTATCTGGTTTTCAGTAAACTTTTCGTTTTTATAAAACAAAAAAATCTGTATTTCGTTTCAGGAGAAAAATATTTTAATAAAATACCGTTATGATGAAAAATCTTTTAATGAAAAATTTGTTTAATGTGTGATTTTACTATGACAATTCGGTTTTTAGTAAAAAAGAAAATTTTTGGCCTAAAATTTACTTTTAAATAAAAAAACCAATGTTTAAGTAACAAAAATAGAAAATAGATTTTTAGAGATAAATCGGAAAAATAAAATATTGTGTTTTTAATGGGATTTTGGTTTTTTAGATAAAATTTTGTTTTTAGAAAAAATATAAAACATATTTTTTTGTAAAAATATGATGAAACTTAATGTTTCAATGTTAAATCGATATTTCCGGTTATTTTCGAGATCTCTTTAAAATAGTTTTTGTGAAAAATCGATATATGTACAAGGTACATACTTTATACAAAAATCAGGTGAATTGCAGAATATATTCCAGGTATTCAAGGAGCAATTGATATTTTCATGGGATTTGGAATAAAATATTTTCTGTTTACTTAGACGGACCTAGCTTTTTTGTAAATTTCTTTCTTAAATCATATATAATAAGAAAAGAAAGACCCACCTGCTTGCTTGATCAATAAATAGTTCAGCACTCTCAAACTTTTAACTGGAAATACTTGAATCTTGAACAAAATGACGAGTCTTGAAACAAATAAGGAGTCTTGATAAAGTGATAAAACTTAATGATTGAATATTATTCTTAAGTTCGTAGTGTTTTGATGATTAATTTGAAATGATTAACAAAGAACACATTTTTTTTTTTTTTTTTGGTTTTCTTTTTTTTTCGTATAGAAATTTTTTCTATTTTGGTTGTTTTAGTTCATTTTCATTATACTGCTAAAGCTTAAACTAGCAAATGTACATGGCTAAATGTTTCCAAGAAAGCACATAATTTAGCAAGATTGGAAACGACCATTGGCCTTCATGCGTTCAAAAGATTTTTGGGCATCGTAGGTCCTAAAAGTAACAAATAATCAATCATCAAATATTAAATAATGGTGTTTTTTTTCTAACTTACTTGTAGAATTCAGCGTAGGCTTCCTTCTTGGGGTTGTTCACCAAGATTTTGAAGGCGACTGTAACACAGGCAGTCAAGCCAATAGCAATAGCCAATTGACGTTTAGTTTGCAAGTTGTGCAAACCACGCATAACAGGGGCAGATCCGGCAGCAGGAGCGGGTGTATTGGCCATTTTAATGCGTTTCAAAGGATTACTGTAATTGTAAAAAAAATGATTTTAGTAAAATGTTAGGTTACGTAACTTTTTTTTCTTTTTCGTTTAACACAAAAATCTCGCAGATTTACAAAATTCTTTATAGCAAATATTTTCTATATAAGAAATTTTATGAAAATGGCATGTATTTTCTATTTTAACACTTTAATTAATAAATTTACTTTTAATTTATAGAATTTTAAGTAATTGTTCAACAATACCTTTTTTCAGTGGAATACGCAACAAAAAAGTTCTCACTAAACAGTGTTGTTAATTCAACTATATTCTTGTCAAATTGAGCGATGTAATCAGTGTTGCCAACTTAGTGCTTTTAGCACTATTTGCGGTGCTTTTTGATGTACCAAACGCGGACAATTTTTCTCATGGTGCCTTTTTCAAAAAGGCACTGTGGTGCTTTTCTAATATTTTAAATCTTATTTTGTGATTTTCAGGAGTTAATTAAGTCAATTAATCTTTAACACTTTCTCTATGAGGTTAAGAAAACTGATAATTTGTTCATTACTTTATATGTACAACTTTTTGTTGGATCAATTTAATAGTCCATACTAAGGGACTAAATTTTAATTAAAAAACTGTTTTACATTTTAGAAACCTATGTTATAGGTTTCTAATTGAATTTGAATTGGATAGAATAAATATTCTTCAAAAACATAAAATAAATTGTGGAAAATATGTATATTACTCACCCAGATCAGTTTGAATGTTTAATGACATTTTACTATTTTTAAAATAACTTTTAAACAAATTAAGGGATTTTTAATTTGAATAACATAGAACGCAAAACCATTGGAAATCAAAGGAAGAGCATAAAAATGTGGAATACTGCTTGCAAGTGCCGTTCATTTGGATATTTTGAAGTTTTTTCTTTTCAGTTCTTTTATGTTTGATATAATAAGGAAGAAAATTGACAGCCCAGCCTACTGATTCTACTTTTAATTGTTGTATCATGAGGGATTTGAAATATTAAACCAGATTCAGACAGTGTAGGTTAATATGTTTCTCATCTAAATTGAAATTTAATTTTTATTTATCTAATATTCGTCGTTTTAGTTTTTACGTTTATATCTAAAAATTTAACTAACCGAAAATAATCGACATATTATAAATTTGATAAATCTATATGAAAGACTTTAGTATAAAGCATGTTTTGTAGCCCTTAGTTAAAAAAAAGAAGTTTGGAGTATTCCAGTCTTATAGTAAATTAACAATATGATGTGCAATTTTTATTAAAATAAACTTTATTTTACTAAAAAAAACTGTGCTTTTTACCCATTTCAGTTCGAAAATAACGCTTTTATACCCCTTTTTATTTTTTTCCCGCGCGTTTTGCTTGACCATTGCTGTCAACACTGGATGTAATTTAATGAGCGATCTAGCGATTTATTTAGCGTTGCATTAAATTAATTGTTTCCAGTTTTGGATTTTTGGTCTAAATCTAGTTTACTCCCAAGTTTAAGAAAATACCTACAAATGTTTTTATATGGCAGAGAATGCAATTTGACCAAAAAATATAAGATAAAAAGTTAAAGGTTCACACATATATTTTAATGTTATTATATATTCTCCGGCTTCGCTTAAAAAATCGTTAATGCTTTTTAAAATGTTTGGGGCTACCATATGTCCTTTCCAAAATAATTGGCTCATAAATTCAGAACAAAAAGTTCTATCAGCCCTAGGATTTCAGAATGTATACCTCAAACTTGGAAAAATTATATTTAAGTTGGATTTGTATTTCAATCATATGAAAAAGTTATATATATATATATATATATATATATATATATATATATATATATATATATATATATATATATATATATATATATATATATCTATATATTATATATTATAATATTTTTTTTTTCTCGTCTTGCCTCCCCTCCCTAATTTGTCTTTCTCATTCTTTCTTAATCCTAACTACATTTATATTGAAATTATTTTGTGCTATGTTGAATAATAGTTGTGTTTTGTTGCTAACGTTCAAAGGCAATTTCATTAAATTTAAAATTTATAAACGTTAGGAGTTAACGTGTAAAATTATACAAGTTAATTTTAACGTCGATAAAAGTGCTACCAATTCAAAAATAAAAATACAAATATTAATGTGTTTATGTCAAACAATAAAAAATATTTTAAAATAAAATTTAAATCAAAAAAAAAAATATCAAATAAAAAAACCTTTTTTAAGAAAATGTAAATAATTTCAAGATTTAGCAGATTTCTTCTGTGTAGTGATGCCAAGTCAGGTAATGTTTGTTTTGTTGCTAACTTTAAGCGTTAACCTCATTGATAGCAACAAAACACAACTAATATTTCATTTTGAGATGCCACACAGTAATACTATTAAAAAATTTGTTTTTATAGAATTGTTTATTTTTATTTTTTACTAATTTAAAAAAACTTAGCTTTTTATATAAAAAAAACTTATCTTTTTATATAATTTAAAAGTTATGTTAAAAATTAAGTTCTGTAAAAAATTATGGTGTCATATATTAAAAATTATTTCAATTTAAAAATTAATTTTTTTTTAAATTTTAAATTTTTCGGTCATTATCGATTTTTAATGGAAGGTCAATTATTATTTTTTTTTTTTTCAGAAAAAACGAGTATTCATGGAAAAAATTATTATTTTGATGATGACGAAGGTTTTATACTTCTAGTAATAATTTGAAATACTTATTTTTACAGTTTTTTAAACATAATTAACAAACAAATACATATCAATGGAATAAATAGAAAAATATTTTAAATTAAAACAATTTCAAAAATAATAACTAGCGAATTATATCCATTGTCATTAAAAAAAAAACTTGGTTTGATTCAACATTTTTCAGTTTATAACCAAAATTACTGTATTTTTTATGAAATTGTTACTAAACACATCCCTGAATAACTAATTGCATTAAAAAACATACTAAACACAGCTTCTTAATTATATAAAATGGCTACACTACATTGGAAAACAGCAAAACTACTACCTTCTCTTTTTATTGTGGTATATACAACAGATAGTTGTTTCACTCTAACACATTAAGTACAGCATTAAAATCACAAATAATTATGTGAAATGAGAAATCGTGCAAGTCGCGAAGTGGAAGTCAAATGCAAATGGCGGTTGTTATTGTTCGTGGTCGAAAATTTTTACAACACGAATTTTTTTTACAAATTTCATCTAGAATATACAATTTAATTGTAATAAATTTTTGCAAATCTTAAAATATAATTTCTCCATAAAACGTGTGTATAGAAATTCAATTGAAAAGTGTCAATATAAACAGTGAAAATTTTGTTTAAAAAAATTGGTCTTTGCAAGAGTAGAAGAAAAAAAAAATTGTCGTCAATCATATTTTTTGTGGCCCCTTGCTACCAATACAACAACAACAAGAAGTAAAGAAAAAAGTTGATACTTCGTATGGTTCGTTTTCTACGCCTGTGAATATTTTTGGTCGCGCTGTTTGATCTCCAAAAAAAAGCTTCTTCTTGTGTTGTGTTAGGCCTCCTCCTCTAGTTACCAAAAGAAAAAATAAAAAAACCGAAAAAATTACAAATAAACTAGAAAAAACTGGTCATTAATCCTCCAAACGTATGACATGCACTCCTCAAAACGTTCAAAGAAAATTGTCCAAATCAATGTTTATCAAGGAGTTTTTCAACATCAGTGTTTAATTAAATCTTGTCAAATTACAAAAAATAAAACAAACTAAACAAAAAATAATAAAAATATCTTATAGAAAAAGTTCTTGTTACAAAAAAACTACTCGTTATGTAGAATGGTGCAAAAAAATTCCACTTAAAAAAGTAGTCAGTCACTGTTACAGTGTTTTGACAATTTGTTGAAGTAATAAATAAAAATCGTGAGAAAAGAAAAACTAATACTACTTAATTATTAGAAACTCCCCAAAACAAAACGTAACGCAACAACAACATAAAAAGCAAAAGAATAAAATAAAAAGGAGAATATCACACACGTCTGTTTCTCTTTTAAAATGCAGCTCTGCATAAGTGACACAAGTGGCAGGCATATCGAAAGAAACGTAACGTAACGTGATATATGCCATGATTTTGTTGTTTATTGTTTTGAAAATATATTTTTGTTAATAAAAGAAAAATTAAAGAAGGAAGAAAGAAAAAAAACCAACAGAGTTGCCATAACTATAAGAAAAGTTTTGTTTAACAAAAAATCTAACAAATGTGTACATTAAAAATATTAACAATATTACATTATTTGCTACCACCGCTTAGTGCTTCAAATGTTTTACTACGAAAATGGCAAAATTGTGGTCATAGATTTAAAATTTAAATTAATTAATAATTACTATATAATTTGTGTTAAAATATAATAATTATTACCTAGAATTAATGATTATAAAGAAACAGTAGCAAAAAATAATCGTAAACAAATGAAAGTTTTAATTTTTTGTGTGAATGTATATCTTCGCGCGATTTCTGCTAATTTAAGAATTAGTGAATGTTCGCTTATTTTTTGTAATAATTAAAAGAAATTCTTCGAAAGAAAACAACCCCCAGACAGCTCCCCCCGTCAAGTGTGATTGTCGTCGTGTGATGATATGCAACTTAAACAGGTGAGTTGGAATGGAAATGTATTGAAAATGTTTTTTGTTATTTAATTAATAGCTATAATACAATTATATTTTACCGTTTAGAACATTTTCGAGTGTGTGATCATAATACATTTAATATTATTCTTTAATTAATTCTTAAATTTCTTGTGCTTTGTATATAAAAGGGTTACCAAATGCAATAGAATACAATAAATAATGTGTAAAAACAAATAATAAGTGGAAGTGAAGTGTTAAAGTGATTAATAATATTTATAGGTTTCCTTCTATTACCACTAATGTGTTCCGATTTTTATTAAGCAATACAAGATTTCGGGATCACTAATTTGTTATGCCAAATTTTGTTATTTCTGTGTAATATGCTGTTGTGTCAAAAATGCCAGTTGTATTATTTTATCAAATTATCATAGAAACTTTGATATTGATAGTGAGTCAGAGGGACAACAATTTTTAACCGACCAATATAGTTTTAATTTATTTTAGCAGTCGACCAACACACTTCAAATTTAAAAATGTATATTAAAACTTCCGCAGGATTTTTAGCTGTTGCTGAAGTAACTTAAATCGACTAAAAAGATTTTATATTCAAATTGAATCAATGATATACAATATAACATTTTTTGATTAAAAATAAACCTGTCATAATACACAAATTAAATATCCCCTTAAATTAGGTTTTATTAGAGAGTAGACAACTCTTATTTCGAGTTTATTTTCAATATGAGATTTCACTCGTCACTCGTTAATTTCACCACTTTTTTTGTTATATTTTTCTAACCGAACATTGACGAGTACATCAAAATGGCGGCCAATATTTAATATAAACTTTTGTAAATTATACTATTTTTTAAAAACATAATTTCTTTAATTAAAATACAAAAGTCAGTAATTTTTTAAGCAATTCTGCTTCATTTATAGGTATTAATAAAAGCATTAAGATTTAGATAAAATTTTTCCAATCGCTATTTTCTTCATTAACATATATTGTACTCTTTCTTTCATATGTAAATTGTTTGCGTACTATATGATGTACTGGAATGCTACATAAGTGTGTTTGTGTTAAAAAAAGAAGAAAAGGAAAACCAGAAGTGTCAAAAAAATAGTATAATTTTATTATAAAAATTTATTAATTTCTATAAAATTTTTAATAGTAAAATTTAGAGAAATTGTATAAATGGTAATTAGAATAAAAATTGTTAATAATTGAAAAAATTACTTGAGTATTAATAATTATTTTTCCAACTCGATACTTTTTTATAGAGGGCTGCCATATTATTTACTACAAACACTGTCATCTCTGGTTTGCCATATCTGTTTTATTTATTTTTAGGAATAATGAGGATAAAATAAAAAATTTTAGGAATAATGTATAAAAATATAAAATAATTTTAACAATTAATATAAATCTCATTAAAACTTTACAAGAAATAAATTTTTTGCAAACGTTTGTGGCAAAGCCTTTTCATAAAATATTATAATATAAAAATATTGTCAATATTATTACAGCAGATTGAACCGTGTATGCGGATAACAGTGCAAATCCCTAAGGATGCGGCGCAAAGGTTACGCCAATTGGCTACCGAGGGTAATCCTACACTACGGGCCCTTGGTATACGATCCGTACAATTAGAGGGAGATTCTCTGATATCACTCAATCTTGGCGGTCAACAGATTGATGTTAAAGTATCAGGTATTTTTCATTGAACAGAAAAATATTTTATAACTTATTATAACAATATGTGATTTTTTGTAGATATTTCATCTGTTGTTAGCCATGAGACGTCCGGTACGTCTATTAGTGGTATTGGAAGCGGTGGAGTTGGAATCGGTGTCGGTGGCGAAGGTTGCAATACAGATATAAGTGATTTATCCCAATTACTTAGTGTGGGAAATCTTGGTGGTCCTAGCACAAGTAGTGCTTTTGTAAAATTGCCTCAAGCTCAGTTGCAAGAACATCAGCAGCAGCAGCAACAGCAATCGACATTAATCCAACAGCAGCAGCGACGAGGGAATATGGCTCCAAATATTAATTTTGGGACAAATGTTGGGGTAGGTAGTGGCATGGATGGTGGTTCCATGTCTTCTATACAACAACAGCAAATGTTGCAACAACAACGTCGTAATATGATGCTTGGTGGTCCCAGCACTAGTAATGCTGCCATTAAACATCAACAGCAAAATCCTTTCAATACCGTTCTGGGTACACAGCAAAATCTTCAACAACAGCAGCAGCAACAACATCAACTTCAACAACCTGTATTTAAGTCACCGAATACAGTTTGCCCCATGGATGGCAAAGTGCCAGTGCCTCCTTTGCCCGTAGCAGCCGGCAATGCTGCAAATTCACGAGAATTTCCCTTTGAAAGCATGCGCCAAGCTCGTGTTTTGCAGGGCCGCGATAATTCTTTGAATACTGTGGGATCATCATCGTCAGCTATACCAACTCCTGGTGGAATACCCTTAGCAGCTGGTAAACCTGCGGTAGCTGGTGTACCAAGTAATAGCGTCGGCAGCATTCCACACCAGCTTATGGGTTCATTGGGTCCACCGCCAAATGTTGCCCTTAAAGTGATTAAAAATCCTCAAAGTGGTGAAATGATAACTACAACTGTATCTACAGCATCTGGTAAATCACAGTTTTTACAACCACCTCCTCCACCATATCCGGGTGTTGGTACGGTAAACTCTCCCGCCTCCCAGAATTCTCCGGCTTTAGCAAAGCCTATATCAAGCTATTTGCAATCACGTGTGGTGCCACCCTCAACGCCAACAGCATCACCAACTGGAGTTACAGGTTCAAGCAATAGTAGCAATAATATAGCGATGTCATCACCGCTTTTGGTGAATCTGCTGCAAAATGACAGCAATTCGGTGGCAAATCAACATGGCAATCAAGTGAAATCGTCGCCGTTGCCTTCCCCACAACATCAGCCGCAGCAGCAGCAACAACATCAACAACAAATGCCGCTTATTCATCAACAGCAACAGTCCCCCATGATGGCGGCAATGAGTCCTCAGCAACAAATCATGAATTCACCGCTGAGAACTACAACACCAGGAAGCGAATTTATGATGCAACAGCAACAACATTCAAGTCAGGTGCAGCCACAAATCGTCTCGGCACCTGGTACCCCAGATAATGTTCTAAGTGTGCCTTCTTCTCCAACTGCGACAACGAATGCTATGCGTTCTATGCCCCCGGGTTCGCAGCAAATAATGTTGAGTCCAAGCAATAGCAGCAATATGTATTCTCAACAACAACAGCAGCAACAGCGCTTTCAACAACAACAGCAACAAATATCACCACAACAAGCAGCATTGTTGCGGCAGCAACGTCAACAGCAATTGCAAACAGTCAATCAAACTACAAAATCAACAACGTTTTATACCACAACAGCAGCAGCAACAACAACAGCAACAAATGTTGCAGCAAAATATGGGTGTCAACACGATGTTAGGAAACCAACAGCAACAAATGAGGCAATTGCGTGTTGGATCTGGTGGTGGTGGCGTTGGTGTTTTAACACATCAAACTCCACCTTCGCCCCTCCAGCAGCAACAGTTTACAGCAACACCAACGTCTTATAGGGCAACAACAACAGCAATATATGTCGGTTAATGCTGGAAACATGTCACCTGCAGCTGCACATTCACCCGCCTCCAGTCATCATTCGATGCATAGCCCTCACATGTCCTCCCAGCACTCACACCAACAACTACTATCTCCTTCGACAACGCCCCGCACAGTCTCCTCTAACAGCTTCACAGCATCTAACGCAACAATTGTTACCGCCACCTCCACCACAATCGCCCTCAACATCAGGTCTTACGCACAATGCTTCCTCCTCCATTCACATAGTACCTTCTTCACCATCTACTCCAAGTATGAATCTACCACCTCCACCAGATTACAATCAAGCGGCTGCTTCCTCGAGATGGCCTGCGACGTTAAATAAACCAATGGATTCGGCGACCAAGTCAAGTTTTCAAGAGTTCACACGTTATCAAATGCAATACAATTTACAACAGCAACAAACTCGACAACAAGAGCAACAAATTATCTCCGAAATTGCTAATTCGTTGTCCGGCGCATCATCCAACAACAACAGCAGCATCCATCATAACCAGCAGTCGTCGACAGCAGCTGGTGGAAGTAGTGGTGGAGTGAGTGTAGGAAACAATAACACAACCTCCGCAAACTCTGTAACAGATGTAACAGGTTCTACCGGTTCTGGTGTAGATGCTGCCTTAGATGCCCAAACAGTCGACGATTTAAATGACAACTTGATTACTTTATCCGACTTGGATGCTTTAACAACAAATGATTTGGACGCTTTGTTGCCTACCTTAAGCTGTGATATTGATTCATCCCTTAGTTTGGATGACAAAAATGAATTGGAATCCTTGCTTCAAGATGCGAAAGATTTGGACTTGGATCTTATCGAGGGTATGGACATTGATGAGACGGCAGCTGCAGCTTCATCACTTTAGCGGGAGATGAAACAGCTGCCACAAAATGTTGAATTAGCAATGGGTCAAATGCAGCCGCAGCAGCAACCGCAACAACAGCAACAAATATTACAGCAACAATTATTGCAGCAGCAGCAGACGCAACATCAGCAACAACTGCAGCAGCAACAAAGACAATTGCAAATGCCACAAAGTCAAATTATGCAGCAGCAGCAGCAACAACAATCTCAGCATATTTTGCAGCAACGTTTGCAGCAGCAACATCACATAAACCAACAAAATCTTGTGCCTCAAAATCAGCAGCAGCAACAACAACAGTTTCAAATGACTTCAAGCCATCAACAGCAACAATTTATGTTAAATAAACAACATCAACAACATTCAAGTGTACTTTCTGCTGTACCTGTCTCTGGCAACACACAAACAACACATCCTCCTCCGTCGTCGCAACAAAAGCAATTTCTTATTAACCTCTAACCGGTGAACTTGAACCCAGCCCCAGCGATGACAGTGAAACTGAAGCTGAACAAGAGACTATTCAATCTTCATCTAATTCCGCACTCCACAACATCTCAAACGCTACCAATACCTCCCAAGGATCCAATTATAACCCAAATAATAGCACAAATAGCATTTATGATTTGGTACCCAATTCATCATCGCATTTCTCCGAAGATTCCAAATTCCAACTCGTGCAGCACTGCCATCTCAAAATTGTCGGCTGGCGAACAAAATAATGGCGGGTCTTCAACACCTCAATTATTGGGAGCTGGTTCGGATAACGAACGTTCTAGGGACTCTTTAATCTCGAACAAGTCACAAAGAATAGAAAGTCTACAGCAAATGTGTCATCAGCGCCTATTTTGAATATGAATGCAAGTGTAATTAGCAGTAAACCTGGTGATATGGGTTCTCCCAGATCAAACTCATCCTCCCCATCGGTGGGAGCCATGTTGGCCGGGGGTAGTACTTCAAATAAAAAGTCAAAAACCAATTTATTAAGAGAGAAACTACAGCAAGGAGTGAGGGAAAAGAAAAGCAAGGAGGCGGCCAACGCTGGAGTGGTCAAACCAAAAAGGGAAAGAGCCAAAGCTGGCAGTAAATCAAAAGCTGCTTTAGCTGCTGCTGCCGCCGCAGCAAATACACAGACTCTTATGCAAAATAAACAAAATAGTGCAATAGCTAGTAGCTTATCATCATCATCATCATCAGGAAACACAGCTACAAGCATAAATGTTACCAATCCGATGATGAATACAGTGGATGCAACAACTTCATCAGTGGGAGCAAATGTGGCGGCAAATGAAAAATCAAATTACGTTTGAAATTGGGAAAATCCGAGCCAGTTGCACCGGCTTATAAAGTTGATGTGACATTTAGCTCGGAAAATGTGCAACAGCAACAACAATCTCAACTAAATGCTCAACAGTTGGCAAACAGCGTAATGCAACAGCAGCAACAACAGCAACATCACACGAATTCATCGCAATTTCAACAAAATACTAATTTAAATTCACCTCAGCAGCAACAGCAGCACTCAATACAACAGATGCAGCAGCAGTTAACACATCAACAACAATCATCAATGAACCCGCCACAATATCAACAACAACAAGATAATATTTTTCCTCAAGCCTCCTCATCTGCGGCAGCTGGCCTAAACACATCCGCTTCCACAACAGCGGGCAATTCTTCTCCCGCTACAGATGAACCCAGAGGTTCCTCCACTACACATTAGTTTACGAGGAGGAAAAAGTTCAATTGTTATAAAAAATTCCCGAAAAGAACGCAAGAAAACACAGAACACGTTGGCACAGACCAGAATGAATCCTTGGACAATAGCATTAAGACAAAGTACCATCTCAAGCGTACTCACCTTATTACGGATAATCTGACTGCCAGTGCAACAACTGGAGATAACTCCACTGTGGACGAACAAAGTGCAACAGAATCCAAACAGTCTAAACTGGGACAAAATGTAACAAAAGCTCCAAATACAACTCAAATAAATGGAATACCAAACATGTCTGACAACAAGTTGGCTGTTTCATCATCAACAACAACCACAACCAGTTTAGTTGCGGGAAAAAAATGGTCTAACCATAAGTGCAACAACAATGAACAATGCTACCATGGAGGCGCCTAATAAAACCAGCCAAAATTTAATTTTGGATACGCAAAGTTTGGGTTCGACAAATTTGGGCACTGTCACCCACCTACCACCTCAGCAATTGCTGCAAACCCTCCACTCAACAGCAATTGGCCAAAATTACTTCTTTGCCAAATAGCATTACTCTGAGCACCATAACAAATCCCAATACAGGGACCGGAAGTGGTGGAGTCGGATCAAATTCGAATAGTTTGCAAGTAAAACATAACCTGAAGACCGACTGCCACTATAACACCAATTCAGGGAAAACCCCTAACAAAAAACCATAAGCCTCCGTCGTACATAACGGCGGTACCACAATTGCAATTGCAAAAACAACAACAGCAGCAGCAATTAGCAGCTTTAGCCGAAAACAAAACGCAGCAACAAATGATAGCAGCAGCCGTAACAATGCTACCGAGTGCTACGACCCTCAAAAGAGTGGAAATAACAAAAGTGGAGCGTAAAGATGCTATGGGTAATGTGGAGCATGTTCTGATCAAATCAAATGAACCGGTTACGACAGCAGCTGCAACTGCAACAACAATTAAAGCCAACACTCAGGTTACAACAAATGTTACGACCACCACTGTATCTCCTCGCCAGTAACGGTATCGTCATCATTGGTGACCACAAATACAAAGACAACATTTAGTGTGGCGGAAAGTAGCGCTGCAGGTAAAACGGAGAATACGGCTGCAAGCAAACAAAATATAATTCATCAGCCCATAAGTACATCTTCAACCACAACTGCGGCCACCGTGACCACTACACCAACAAATACTCCTGTCACAAATTTAAACTATAATCAGTCGACACTGGCAACTACTTTGCGAAACTCTCCTGCCAGCACGGGAGGTGGCACACCAGCCCATGCAAATAGTGCCGCAGGAGAAGATAGCGGCATAGAATCCATGGATGCTTTGTCGGAAAAGTCACCACACCAACTTACATCCAGTAGTCCCCAATCCCTGCAACCACAAATCACCTCGGACAAGCCACCCCAGCAAATACTAGCTAAAGGTCCAGCGACTGAAACTCTAAAGGCAAGTGAGGAAGTGGCAACTCAATTAACATCGGCCGACGACGAAATCGAAAAGGCTTTAGCTAAAATGGAGGGCTTTACAGAGGATGATGACAATAACCTATTGGTTGGTGATAGTTTAAAAGAAAAGATGTTACCAACTCCAAAGATCTACAGCAACAGAAAATTAATGGTGACCACTCCATCTTTGATGACGATATTTTAAAACAGAAGGACAACAAAGTGGTTTATAACAACATACATCATCACCACCATCATCATCACCAACTCGAGAAGAAGACGATGACGACGAGGATCTTATTAAAAATCTCACTGCCAGTATTATTGAGGAACATGAGGCGGGCGAAAAGGCAGCCAAAGAAAAGTTGGAAAACGAACGCAGAGAAAAAGAAAAATTAAATCTTAAAGAACTCGAAGAAGAACAAAGGAAAGAACGGCGAACAAAATTAAAATTAAGAGACATTAAAAACGAGGATTTCGAAGAAAAATTACCAACACCACAACAATCATTAAGAAAGATGACTCCATTAAAATCGAAGTAAATTGTAACAATAACAACGATAAAGAACAAACAATTGAAACAAAGAAAACTCCCCTAGAATCTCTTAACAAAGCTGAAGAACCTAAGGAAACGAAATCGAGCAGCAGAAAGACGTAGTTAGCAATAAACAGAGTGAGAATCTTAACTCCAACCTAGCTACGCCCATATCAATAGAAATTCCACAAACTACGGATATGGACTCGCCACGCATAAGAACGAGAGCCAGCAGTCGTTTGGGTAGTCCTATGGATGTGGCGAAATCTAGCCCTTCTTTAGACACCAATTCCACCACACAATCAACTCTACTAACAAATAAACATGTTGTCGCTACCAGATCTGCAAGTCATACCCATGAGCGAGTCAGTCTAAGTCCCAAACTACTTCAAGCTAATTCAGCCTCTAGCACCAGCACAAATACTACCAACTCTGCCTCCTCCAACACTTTGTCTGCAAACTCTAACACCAATAGTAGTCAAACACAGCAAACGCAAAATCATCATAAACGAAACGTCAAGAATCTGAAGGAGGAAGTAATAGCAATGGTGGTGTGGGAGAAAATGACCCCAAAAGAGCACGCAGTGGCAGTACGAGTGGCAGCAGTGCTGTTACAATAGTGAACCACAATGAAATTGCAAACAATAATAAAAAATCCGATGATGCAGGAGTTTTGAAAAGTACTACCCCCTATTACTACGACAAAGAAGATTGAAGAATCCTCTGATTCAGATGAACCTCTAATAGAGGTGGCTGGCAAGGTCAGAAATTCTAAAGCAGCAGCTGCTGGCAGCATTGATAATAATTCATCAGTATCATCATCATCATCGTCCACTAACATCAATTCTTCTTCAACAACGTTAATACAACAACTGTGGAAAATACTTCAGAAAAAGTTACACGTAATAGTAGATCACATCAACAACAAAATAGTAAGTAATTAGTTAACATTCTCCTGCCTTTAATTTTATTAACAAATTAACGAATTTTGTTTTCTATTATTTAGAAGGATCTGCAAATATGTTGTCTATGACTGCTGGAAATGAAACAAGTTCAAATTCAGTGAATTCTTCTTCGAACGCATCAAAAGTTGGAAAGTTAATAACAGTCACACTGGTCAAACAAATACTGCAGCTGCTGCTGGTTCCCATAATAACTCATCTAATTTAACAGCAACACCATCCATATCCAACTCATCGGCAAACTTCAACACCATCGCATGCTACTCGTGGTACAAGTCAAGGTTCTACGACTACTACTAATGCAACTACACATGCTGCATCCGTAAATCATGCGGGCAATGTTAACAATATGGGCAATAGTCCTGGTGATGAGAAAATTGGCACTCGGCGAAGTGTACGAGCATCGGCAGCAGCAAATAAAATGATTTACACCAGAGGCATTCATAATAACAGCAATAATAATGGAAGTAATAACAGTGAGACCACTGGTAAAATGGCAAACAAATCAGGCGCATTAATTCAAGCTCTGAAAGTGTGGCAGAGGCCAGAAGAAAAACACGCAGTGCAGGTAAATATTCCATTTAGATATTTGAAATTTTCCTAAATAATAGTCCTTTTCAAAATCCAGTTGTAGGTGAAACTGTTTTGACTGAAGGCCGTCGCAGAAGAGGCTCCAGAGACTATAAGTGACCATTGTCTTGCGGCTCGGCTACAGGTTCTGAGGATAAATTCGAATTTTATATTTTTCAAGATGATGAGGACGAAGATGAAGAAAAATCCCAAGATTTACAAACAATAAACACAGATCCAAGTATGGCCGAGACGCAGGATAATCAGTATACAACTATAAATCGTAAAAATCTTTATAATAACGATGAGGAGGATGATGTTAATGATGTGGAGAATATGTTAAATAAACAACAACAGCAGCAAAACATTGAGACGAAAGAAAACTATAATAATTATCAAAGCATCACCTCTTTTGGCGATGAGACCGCTGTAGATGATTTGTTAGCTTTGGCTAACGATGATGCAACAGCTGTTGAAACTGCTAATTTGTTGCTGTCTGAACATCAGCCAAATTTCGTCGACTTTGATGAGTTCAACATATGTCTTAATAATATACTTAACGATGACGTAGACTCTCAACTACAACTATCGCCATCGGAAGTAATATCCAATACTCTAACAACGGCCGAAGTTGATGAATTGTTCAAGGTAAATATTGATATAAAAAATAAAAGCCTAAATCACATGTCAACAAAAACTCTGAATGAAAAAAACGTTTGTAGTATTAATAGTAGCAGTAGTAGTAGTAGTAGTCGTAGCAACAGTAGCAGCAGCAACAGCAGTAATAGTAAAAGTAGTTTACAACATTATCATCATTATCATCAACATCTACGTCAGCATCATCATAATAATGATGAAGATGACGATCTTTTAAATATGGTTCAGTTTGATGATCATATGGAGTTTACATTCTCATCTGAATTAGAAAGTAATTCCACAAATACCACCTCCACCAACACCAGCACCGCTACCAATCATCTAACAACATCTATTAATAATGCTAATTATAAAGTTAGTGCAATTAGTAGTAGGCATAGTTTAACTTCTCATGGTCACAACTATGCCGTAGACAAAAATAATGTCCACCACCAAATTAAATTTAATAATAATAATAATGATGATAATGATTTAGATCTAAATATGATGGTGGATCCTATAAGTATACAATCAACATGCAATCCAACTGCTACTGTATCAGCTTCTCTGACAACTACCGCTACCACCAGTCATATAAACACTAATAATGATGATGACGACGACAATGAAACACCACAAGAAACAGCCTTAAATAATGTCATTAAGCGCAATAGTCATAGTATTGTAAATATATTTCAATAATATACAAAAAACACTACTCATACCATAAAATGATGATGATACTTTACTTTTTTTTATCTAAAATGCAAACAAAACAAAAAGAAAACTACTATATAATTACAAAAAAATGGTACGACACAGCCAACAAACAAAACGCAGCAGCAGTGTTTATGTTTATGCAAAAATACTACTTCAGTTGTAAAACCTTTAAGGTAAAAACTTTCCTTCTGTTTCGAAAGAATTAAGAAATTTTGATTTTCATTTCTAGTCAATTTATGTTGTTAAATATAAAAAGCCCTTAAAGTTATGAGCAAAATATAAATTTTTTATTATTATTTTTTCTTGTTTTTTTTTACTCTTTACAATTAAGCTGCATTTCCTTAACAATTTATTTTGTAATTATTTTTCATATGTATTATATATTAAATTAAAAAAATTAAAATAATCTAATGCTGTCTTAATTAAAAAAAAAAAAAACATAAGATCAGTACAGAATAAATTTTTGAACTATAGCCCATTCGATGATTTCATTTAAAACTACTTAACTTTTTAAAGTGTAAAATGTTTAAAATATTTTGCATTGAGGCTGTTAAAGTAAAGAATAACAATTCAGCCTTTTAGTGAGTTCTACTTTTAGTAAATATTTGTTACTACTTATTTTCTTTGCAGAAAACCATTATAATGCAATTTAAGCGCAACAATAATAGGCAACATTTTTGTAATAAAAACGCCCCTAAAAGCATGCTACTTATTTTCTTTGGTTTGTTTTAAAACGTTTGCCTAATAACAATTTTTAAATATATCATAGCGCAAGAGGTTTTTGAGTGCAATTTGGTTTTAATTTTATTCTTATATTTTGTTTGCAGTTTATTGCAACAGTCTAGCAATTATTGCTATAGTTCAAGGTACAGTTCTGATTTTATTTTTCCCAACACTTTGGTGTGTCCTTAAAAGAAAAGTTATATTTCTTATAGAATTCAATTTATCATATAGATTTTTTTTAACTTCATTTTGTATTTTGCCTATACCTTTTGTAGTTTGTTTTTTCATATTTCTTAATCCAATTCTTTTCCCAAGCTTTAAGTACAAAATATTTAAATACTTTTGCGTACAGAATTTTTAATTTGTTTTCTTCTTGTTTTAAAGTGTAATTGTAAAATTTTATTTTTTCCGAATGGATTTTGTGTATCAATTTATTTTAAAATGTTTTTTTTTTTATTTTATATGAAAAATAATTTACTATAGTAATGAAATCTCTACTATTGCAAAATTTTCTATCGTGAGTTTTCTGTGAACTATTTCATTCACAATAGTTGATTTTGTTTGTAACAGCTGTGAATGGTTTACAAAATTCCAAAGAAAAAATGAACTATGTACTTTGAAAAGCTGTCAGAAATACATCTCAATTATTGGAAAAAATCTAGCATATTTTCAATTTTTGCATTGCAGTTAAAAGAAATTAACTATTGTGAATGAAAAGTTACATGAAGTTCGTGATAGCAAACGAACGTTTTCTTTTTTCATTCACGGAATAAAATAAACAATTTAAGTATTTTAAATAAACAATTCGCACTTGCTGAGGAATTTTGTCAACAACTCTCAATTACAAAGAAATCTCAGCTATTGTGAATGAAAAATTTATGTTAAATTTATGTTCGAATACATAAATAGAATGAAAAATAAATTTCGATATTATTCATCTTTTTAATTTTTAATCCTATAGAAATTTTCTTATATTCCAAATACATATTTTTCAATTTTATTTAAACTTCAGCTTCTTTTTAATAATAAATAATTTGTACTTGAGCTTTTTCTCTAAATTATTGTATATAATTAAATCACACTAAATAATATATAGCAACACTTAACAGAAAAGGCACATTTGAAACATGAGAAATAGTATGTATAAATAGCCAATAAAATAAAACAAAAATATATATTTTAAAAATATATAAATTTATATTTAAAATATCATATGAAATATCTATAGAAGGACTCAGGCTTTCTATAATATGATATAGTAAAACAAAAGAGAATGCAATAAATTGTGAATAAGATTTTCAATGAAAAAAAAAAAAAACTAAATGTACATACAAAACACAAAAACACTGTATAAACCTAAATAACAAAACAAAAAATACTATTTTTGCTAAGTATTTATAAAACATAAATGAAAAACGTAAATAAACAAATATTAACAAACAAATATTTTTGCAAAAATCTAAAATAAAAAAACATTTTTATAAAAAGCCCTCCATTTCCTTGTAATTTCTAATTAGTCTTTCTTTTGTTTGTATCAAATAATTCAAAATACACACTACTTTATTATGGCTTTTATTTCTAATAAATAATTAACTTAAAAAAAAAAAAACAAAACAAAAAAATACATTTATATATTTATATTACAAAAAAAGATAAAACAACAATAATATAAACTAGTAATAATATTAATAATAACATAATCTAAACTTAAGCAATTAGGTTGTAAGCTTTAAATAATAATAATAATTATAAAACCAACCCCCAACAACCCCTTAAATATTAATAAACTACTTTATACAAAAAAAAAAATAAAAACAAAAAACAGAAAAAATCTATATAAATAATAAATAATAAAAAAATAAATAGTAATATTTAATGGAAAAACAAAGTGTCTTAAAAGAAATTGTAGTATTAGTTTATCTCGTATATCTATTATATTAATTTATATTATTATTATTATAAAACCTATAAAAAAATGCAAAAAATAAAAAAAATACCACAAATAATTCACATAATAAGAATTAATTAATTAATTATCGTTATTATTTAATTTACTGTCTAATAAAAAAAAGAATAACAAATATATCTATGAAAAAAAAAACAAGAAAAAAAAGTATGCATGAAATACAATTTTAATTATATTCTTATTATTATTATTATTAATTAATTCTTCAATTATTACAATATTGCAATTGTATCCCCCTTTATTATTACTATTATCATTATTATTATTATATATACTTTCTATTGTTTTTTATTATTATAATTATTATTTTATTTTAATTTCATTTAAAAAATGCAACAAAAACAAACAAAAAAATCCCTGAAGATAAATGCATAAAAGCAGTAAAAAGGAAAAATGTTTCATAAACAATAAAAAAATGTCAAAAAATATTAATTACAATTTTATTTTCATTTCTATGCTTAACAATCATATCTATTTTTGATTGTATTTGTCAATGGGTCGGTTCAATAACGTTGCAATGTAATTGCTAAATTGTAAGTACGTGCTAATTTTGTATGATCGTTTGTTAAGATTAAGTTGAAAGAAAAAGTGCAGACGAAAAAGCTAGTGTTTATTGTATATAATAAATAATATATCAGTGGTTCTTAATAGGTTTCTATAAATCGTTTTTCGAACAAAATTGACTTATTGAAGACGTCAACTATCTTTTAAGACGAATGTCGATAAAACAATTTTGCAAATAATAGTCGTAAAATCGTAAATCGTCGTAAAGAAACAACAATTGAATAATAGACTTTATGTCGACAAAAAGTCGAACTTTGTTCAAAATATTCGATAAAGTAAATCATAAAATTTATCGCAATTTTCCTATTGTGGACGGTGTTACTCGATATCGATCTGAATATCTACTATTTAGATTAATTACAATATCGAAATGTGTTTTCGATCATATATGCGGTATTTTGGAATATTCACTCCGAATATTCTGTAGAACAATGTTGATCACATCGAGTATAACATAACATTTTGGGAAAATATAAACTGATAGGAATTGACTAATATTTTGGAATACCTCCTAAAGGTTTAAGTATTTGAGAAATCATGTACAACTCACATAAATGCTGATAATAACAATCTATGTTTCTAAATGTAATCATAAGAACTTTAGTAGACTGTTGCATATAAGAAGATGATTTTTCACTTCAGAGGCAACAGTCGTGTTCATAATGTTTGTATGAGATTATATGTTGTCTCCAGCAGTCGTCAATTATGAAGTTAAACATTACAATTGTTGTTAGTTTTCTTAAACTAATACTAATAATGCTAACAATAGCTAAAGCTAATCGTAACCAAAAGACACAATCCTACGGTAACAATCGTTCTCAAAGAGGTCGAACTAGTGGGCGTAGAGGACCGTGGGAAGGATTTCCGAATTGGCCGGGTAGAGAGGAAGATTATATAGCCGATAATTGGAGGCGTAAATGTGCGAAATATGACATAGCCAGTTCAGTTAAAAGTTACATTACCGGAGGTATCAAAGCCGAGATGAATATGTTTCCCTATTTAGTGGGTCTACTAATGTACCAGCCACCGAGAGTATATCAATGTGGTGGAACTTTGATAACAGAACGTTATGTTTTAACAGCAGCTCATTGTTTGTACAGGTAAAGTAATATTAAAAAACGTAAAATGGAAGTAATAGCTTGTTTTTTTAAAGAACTATTGAGGCTCGGGTGTATTTAGGTTCGTATATATATGCCGATGCTGGAACTGCGGCTGCTGTATACAATGTCACTGCCCGTGATTTTATCATACATGAACGTTATGGTCTTCAGGGTTTTAATGATGATATAGCTTTGATAAATCTTCAAAAGCCGGTCACTTTAACGGATAAAATAAGGCTAATAACTTTAGCTCCCAGCTATATGACTCAAATCTATTTACAAGGTGAAATTGTGACAGCCGCTGGTTGGGGTCGTATTAGCGACAATAATACCAAATTAAATGTGGAACTTTATTATACGGATACTCGCGTCATAGGCTATGAAAAGTGTATGTGTTATTATTTGCCTGGATTGGTGAGTAGACGGGCACATATATGTGCCGACGGTACCGGAGGTCGTGGCAGTTGTGATGGTGATTCGGGTGGACCTTTGGTGTTTAGACACAAAGATATGGATTATCAAGTGGGAGTGACAGCTTTTGGTAGTGCGGGTGGTTGTGAAATTGGCTTTCCCACGGTATACTCTAGAATAACCAACTATTTGAGTTGGATTTCCCGGAAAACTGGTTTAAAGTTGCAATAAACGTACACAAGTGTTTTTAATGTTTGCAAATTTTTCCATATTTTTTTATTGTTTAATTTTTTTATAAATAAATTCTTACAAAGAACATTTTTTTCTCATAAAAATACTTAACCAATTAGTTTTATTTTTTTGTAATACAAAAAAAAATTATAGAAATTTTTAAAGGATCATGTATTGTTTCCAAATTTCTGTTGTATAATGCTTAGAAAAAACTAATAACAAAATACTAATTGTAATAGCCAATAAATAACTAACTAAAAATGTGTTCTGTTCAACTGAAAAAGTAAATGGAGTCAAGAACATTGCGTAAATCAAAGTCACCTTTTTGAGGCATTTGACAGAGCACACGATTTAAATGACGTTTCGAAAGATCTTCGGCGGAATCATCATGAGAAAAATCACTGTAAATGATAAAAATTATAAAAAAATAATTCATATATATTTGTATTAATATGCGTTACCTTTCTTTGAAACTGTATTTCTCCTTAAGGAACTGAGATAGATCTTCTAAAATAGCTTGAGAATGTAAGGCAACAAATTGTTCTCGACATATTTTATTTAGCTGCGGCACGGTGCAGGCATGTGTCCAGAAGCAATCGTGCACCGAAACGAAAGTTAAGCCCTCACGTTCACAGTGCAGCGAAGTCAACATCATGTGTGATGAATCCAGCGAGTGTATAAAATTTGGAGGGAAGGCATTTTTCTGTTTCATAACATTGGGTTTCTCATACATATCGGTAGCCATGGTTTCTGATACTCGTATATTTGTTCTTTGGGTATGTTTGAATTCCTGTCTATTGTAGGGTTGTACAACGGGCAAACCCAAAGGTGTTACCCATTCTACATTCTTACCACATACACCCGATATAAGGCGGGCACATTCCGTAAACCAATCTTGTATTTCACGGGTTGAGGTGAACATTTCACGCAAACTTTCAAATGTTTTGGTAGTCAAGTAGGTGGAGGCAGGCCATACCCAATCTTTGGGAAAATCATCAATGTCTTTTAGTTGTCTAGCAATTTGTAATCTAGCGCCATATCTGGTCACCCCATAAACAGTAGTCATTACAGTTTGTTTAATAACTTTACGCCGCACAAAACCATCCAGCGCCTGCGCTACATGAAGACCATTTTCAGCATCTTGTTTACGGGTCTTTTCAACCAGCGACGCCACAGCACTGTAAACATCTTGTGGTATGGGTGCTGGAGCTAAATTCACACTATGAGCACCAGCTTTGTCTCGGCCCAAAGCAGCATAATGCTGCAAACCATTGCAGGAGCCGTCTTGATGTATGGGAAAACGACTTAAATACTCTTCCGGATTGGGTGATCTATAGACTTTAGCGATTTCCATGCAACAAGCCAATGTCTGCCAAGGTTCATCGGATTTGGTCCACCATTTGCGACCATTAAGTGGATTATCTGCAGAGTCTAATATGTCTGGCATAGATTCTTCAGCATACAGCAGACGTTCTCTAACGGAGTCACGTTTCTTAAGACCAGTGAGATTAATACAATGTAATTTGAGCCAACTAAAACCGTCCACACCCAAAGGTTGAGGCTGATCGAAAATAAGCATAGAACGTGCCAGATCAGAACCTAAATGATTGAGATGAGGAGGTACGGGATAAACACGACCTCTGAAATCCATATTATGCGGCAGCCAGAAAACTTTATCGCGGTACTATTTGTGGGTTAAAGAAAAACATTTTATTACTACTTTAATCCGATTTCAAGCTTTTAACTACTTACATGATTTGCTAGAGACAGACGATATAAAGTATCACACCATAAACTGTACATTTCAGCTTGTTTACGTCTATGACCCATTTTTTCTTTGAATAATTTGGCCCGTTCTGCATTCGTCATTGTGGCATCTTTTTCAGGTATAGATGGTAGGGCTGGTAGAGAACTGGGTGGTTGTGGTACATCCAATTTATCATTGCCACCATTTTGGAAAACTTCGATTATTACGTCTAATATCTATGGAAAGAATAATTAAATAAAATTGTGTATTTTTGAAGATTTTTCTTTTTGAGATTTTTGACTCACATCTGTATTTACTCGCCAGGGTATGCTGGCCAATTGATTCAGAGAGTCTAGGGCAGGATAAATATTTTGTGAGGGTATGTTGTTAATACGTTCCCATTGTTGTATGGCCTGTAAAGGATTAAAAGTAACAAATTAAAAAAATAAGATTTTTTGTAATATTTTTTTTTCGGGGAAAAATAAAATAAATTAATTTTTGGGTGAAAATATTTCAGGTGAAAAATTTAGGAGAAATTTTTTTGGTGAAATAAATTTTGAGTGAAAAAAAAAAATTTCTTGAAAAAGTTTTATGTGAAAATTTAGGTTAAAAAATACATTTTTTGGTGCATTTTTTTTGGGGATTTTATTTTGTGAATATAAGTTTTAGGAAAAAAATTGGGTGAAATTTTTGGTGAAAAATTAAAATTTTGTAGTGAAAAAACGTTTTGAGTAAAAATATTTTTGATGAAAAAAATTGGGATGAAAATTTTTTTGGTGAATTTTTTTGTGGAAAAGATGTTTGGAAAAATATTGGGAAAAAAATGTTTGGTAAAAAAAATTAAGTGAAATTTTTTGATAAAATGAAATTTTTTAGTATGGAAACTTACTTGGTGTGGTAGACGAATTAAGTCAGATTTATTTAATAGATAACCACCATTATGAGGAGTACTCCAGGGTTGTGGCGGACAAAGCATAGGTACAAGATTCGAATCAAATGTTAACGTTTGTTGGCGTGAAGCTCGTAATAATCTAAAAAAGAAAATAAAACAAAAGTTAAATATAGCGAATATCTCTAATCATATAAACTCTCTTACCTGGCCAATACCGGATGTGGTTTGACTTCTTCCTTAACCAATCTACCCTGATTACGGAATAAAGTATAGAAGGCTGGTAGTAAATTTTGTTGTTTTGTCTTTTGTTTTTGGCGCATAACAAAAGCATCAATTTTAATGTCACGCATTAATATGTTATAGAGAAAACGACCGACCCCCGTCAAAACATTCGAAGGCCAAGCTACTTCTCTTATATCCATACTAGGACCTGATATGCGTTCTTTATGCACCAAGCGCTGCCAAATTTGTCGAGTATTATCACTGGTATTACCATGATCCCAGACATCGCAGTAAGCACTATAAATATCACCTATTTTATCTAAGGTTCCATTTTTCTTTTTCTGTTCAATTTGGTAACTAAAAAAGAAATTAAAACAATTATTTAATGTACACACTTCTTTTTGCACCAAGACAATTACTTACCGCTGCTGCACTTTTTGTCCCAACTCTTTGTATAATTGACCAACAGTAGGACTAAAGGTTTCAGAACCCTCGGCCAGTTTATAGATTTCTTTTATTAAAATATCAGCATATTCCGAAGAATCCAATGTCTTTAAGTAGGTATAGTAATTCATATAACCCTGGGGTTTATAGCGTACTTGTGCCTTTAACGTATTTAAATCTCTAACAATGGCATTGCCAATTTGGGAACGCCATAAAGTTTCTAAATCTTTAAGTTTTTCACGCTACAAAAATAAAATAAACAACATTAATTACTTAAATTTGTAGGACAATACATTTCTACTTACACAATGTTCAGCATTAGAAAATTCTTTGGATTTTTCAATGGACTTTATGGTTATACAACCATCCAATTCTATTTTCAATTGTTCTCTAGCCATTTCCTCCAATTGTTGTTTATTATAGCCCAGCTTGGAATTCATAATCTCAGAACCATCAATGGTATTTGAGGTTTTGCCATCAAATAATTTCTCATCAGCAGGTAAAACTTTTTCATTTAAATTGTTGAGTAGGGGATTATTGTATTCCAAAACAGGAGGTGTATAAACCGGTTCAAATTCAGGTAGTACTCTTTGTATGGCATCTAAAGCAATGTCTCGTTGATCAGCTATAAATTTCGATTTATCCATAATTTGATTTAGTGTCAAACCCATATCTTCAGCTTTTTTAATATACATTTTTATTTTCTCTGTATTATCCGGTGACATTTCCAGACGACCCAAACACTCAAAGATGGCAGCAAATGTTTGTTCATTAAATTTCAAGCCATCTTCTTCGATTAAATTGAATATATCACGAAAACGTTCAAATGATCCCTTTTCAGCGTAGCCATGCAGCAAAATATTGTACAAATCTATGGTGATTAAATTATTTGTAGCACTATGTTTTTGGGCTCTTTGGCGATAAGTTAGCAGAGTTGAGAGACCACGATTTTGTAAACCCACCGAAACACAAACATTTAAATACGTAGTGAGATTAAGGCGTAAGGCTCTTTCTTTGGCTAAGCGTTCTTGCAGTTCATTATGATGGACTTTCGATTTAAATCTGAAATGTAAACGCCATTAAGCGAAAATAAATTTAAGAGTTTTATGGGATTTATTAAATACCTGGGTTTAGATTTTTCTGTAACCGTAGCTATTTTTTGTTGACTTTTTATAACAGGTCCATCTATAATATCGGGAGATACATAAGGTTCAGGCGAGTCTAAAGGATCGATATCTTCTTCTAAGGCAAGCTTTGATGCACTCATACTAAAAGCAAAAGTTAAAGCAAAATATTATTTTTGAAACTGTATTTTCGAAAATATCAATTAACTTACCTGTAGGCATCATTTTCAATATGATCATGCTCCAGACTCTCAATAATATCGCGAAAATTGTGAAAACTTTTAATAATTTGTTGAATTTGTTCGGGATTATTGAGTATTTGCTGCGATTTCATTTCCTCATCTTTGCCAAAGAAAATCATGGGTTTATCATCATAACTGCCAGCTTCCAAAAGACTGCTGTCCAAAGCTTCCATATTAATCTTTTGATACTCAACGGGTTGTAGCAATGTTGGAGCTGGTTTTACCACAGTTTTACTCGATTTCTCTGATGTTGTTTTGGGTTTTGCTTTTAGTTTTTTGTTAGCTATTTTCTTTAGAATTTCCTGTTGAGTTTTGATAATGAAATCCTGTAGCTTTTTGGCCTTTAAACGTTTAACACGAGATTTACGTTCATTGGCGGCAGTATCAGTTACTACAACAACAACAAAATTTTAAATAATTATTTTACACTAACAAATATACAACAAACTAACCTTCTAAATGTTCCACATATTTAGAGTAGCGAGGTTTCCGGAATTTTTTCTTCTTTTTCACTTCGGCCGCCTCAACATTTGTTGGAGTTGTGGATTGTAAACGGACAGTTGGAATTAAGGCTGCGGCAGCATTTAATTAACAAATTAAATAATTATCACGTCATTTCTTATGAAAACATCTATTTTTATATAGTATAACACAAACTCACCTCTACTTGTTGTAGTTGTAACATTCTCAATAATTCCTTGGCATTGAACTACAGGTTTCTTTAAATGGAAATTTTGCATGTTTTGCTGCAGATGACAATAAACGGCTTTCTGGTGATCATTGTTTATGGTTTGATATCTAGCCGGTTGCAATAGAAATGCATTTGCTTCAGGTCTACCAACAATTCCACCACCACTACCAATATCTTTGAGACCCACCACATGTTTTTTATGTCCATACACAGCTAAACGACAATTTTCTATGGCCACACGATTGATCGTTAATAAACGATACATTTTTCCTTTAACTTATTAACAAATTCATCAATTTACACTTAATTTTTATCGTTTTTTGTTTATTTTTATTTAGTTAATTCACTTTATTCGCTTGCATAACCGTTAAATTGTAGCGCAGAATATCCAAAAACTTCAAGAAAAACATTGCGCAGTTTGACAATCACATGGCAATAACAATCCCGAAGTTGGTTGTAGTTGTCAGTGCAGAGTGTTTAATGTGGCAATACTATTTAGTAGATTGCTGATATGATGTGGCAATGTTTTTAGTGTTAATAAGCAGTTAGTTTTAAAAAGGGTATTTAAATAAATCATGGATTCCTTGAGTATATTTTAGTATTAAATAATTTATTAAACATTCCTTTATTGTTTTATTTTTTAGGTTATGAAGTTTTTTTAGGTTATAGGCTAGTCAATAGACTAGTTTATAAACTAGTCCATAGGCATGACAATATACTAGTCTATAGACTAGTATACAGACTATATAATAGATTAGTATAGAATCAATTGTATGCATATATTAGTCAATAAACTATTCAGTCAATAGACTGGAATATACATATATTAGACAATACACTAGACCATATAATAGACAATAGGCTAGCCAATATACTAGTCCAATAACTAGGAAATAGACTACTCCACAGAATAGTCAGTACGCTAGACCACGGACTAGTCTATAGAATCTACAATAGAATAGTATAACTAAAGTCTAGTCTATAGACTAAAAAATATACTATTTAATAGAATAACTTGACAATAGACAAGTTTACAGGCTAATCTACAGGCTAGATAATAGACTAGTCTAAAGGCTAGACATTAGACTAGTATATAGGCAATAATTGAAAATACATGAATTTAATAAGACTTTGTTTAGATCTTTAATCAGAAATTTGTCTTCTAAATAGAAAAACTGTGGGTCCATAACTATAAATATACATACATATGTACATATGTATTTAGTTCTAAAACTTTTTTTAACTAATAAGCCGATTTTAAATTCTATGGAAAATATTTTTATTATTCTCATATTTCCTTCAATTTTAAAACAATTAATTAATATTATTTTTTATTGTTCTTTTTGTGTTTAATGTAGCTTCCCTCAAGAATGCTCTACGAATTACATAGATACATATGTAAGTACATTTTCCTAGTAAAATATATAAAAACCATTTTACCTAATCACTTATGTACAAGTAGTTTTTTTAATGGCTTTAAGACATGCATATGTTTAATATGATGGCAATTAATCATTTCTATTCATTTTTTTTATTTTTCAATTTTATTTTCCATTAAATGAACATATCCGTAAATGCATATTGTTAATAGAATGAAATTACTTATTTAATTCAAATAATAATGGTGTCTCACATTTAGAACATGTGTAACTAGAAGCGCTACTTCAATTGGGTAGTTTGGAGTTGTTGTAAAAAAGAAAATGGGAAGTAAATGTATTTTCACACTTGAAATTTTATTGAAATTTTTTTAATGAGTTTTTTTTCTCAAACGATTAAAATTAAAGGAAATAAATGTTAATTATAACATAAACAATCAATTAAGATATTTAGGCATGTCACAGTTTGCTATTAAAACGTTTAAAATTTTGGGCTTGAATTTCTAATCAATTTCTATTTTTTCTCTAATTTTCATATTGAAAACTTTTTAACACAAAAACCTCTCTCTTTACCGGCAGAGAGAATAACGATCCTCTATAAGGATAAACGTCTGAAATACTAATTAATTAAGATTTGAGTTTGTAAATAAAAAAAATTACATTTGTATACAAATATTATTTATAGAACTTTAATTGCGCATTTCTACTCTGATCTCTATGAATTTTCTTTCTCTTCGAAATTATAAAACGATCACTAAATACTCCCACACTATTTCTGACATAAAAATAAAACTGCATTTCTTCATTCATTGTTCTTAATTTCTTTTTGAAAAATCTAATGATAATGCCGGCTAAAGATATGCCCGAATACATGAATGCATCCATATACTCTTGCTTAAGAGCAAGATCAATTTTATTATTAATTACTCTTCTGCTCTTGCTCGAATACACGAAGGGACACACATTACAATATTTTACTCCAGCCACGAGTAGACAGTCAACCAACAAAAAGATCTTTTAAAAAGCAAAGACATTTCTGAATGAACTTTATTCGTATTCTAGATCTGGTGGCGTTCAGTTATTGTTGATAAGAAAACGGGCGAAAAAGTGGAAATAAATTTAAGAAACGTTTAAAAAACCAAAAACAAATTAAGAAAGATTTAAAAATACACATAAATAAGGAAAAAATAAAATACTTTTTTGGAAAAAAAAAAAAAATAATTAGAAGAAATATTATAAGAAATCTTTTAAAAAACACAAACAAAGTAACAAGTGCTACATATAATTTATTTAAAAAAAAATATTTGTTGTAAGTATTAAATAATAGAAAATTCTTATTAAAAAGTTATCGCTTTATAGTCGGACGTATTTGATAATTGTAAATCTCATTTAGCTTTTGATTCCACTACGAATTTATTTGTTTTTTTTTTCGCAAAATAAAAAAAATGTTTTTTGTTTTATTTTGTTTAACTATTGCTTTGATGAAAATACATCATCATTTATCAACCTTTTGACCTATTTCTATTATATATTTAAATCCATATTCTAAAATCATTGATAAGTTTTTTTTTCATTTTTTCTAAATCAGGTTAGTGTTACTGTTTTAGAATTGTTTCAGAATTGTTATGGAATTTATAGATTTTCATATAATTTATAAAATAAAAATATAAATACTTAATTGATAAAAGTTTGTTTAAGTTTAGAATTGATATTATAAAATATACTTAATATTGCAAAAATATTTGTTTTGTTTAAAATTCCATGAAATATACTATATGTTATTTATAAATTGTCACATTTTTTCAATTCATAAGAGTGATTATATACATACATACATATGTATGTATATAAAAAATATTTAAATAGATTAAAATTTTAAGAGTGTATTGAAATTTTGCTATTTGAAAGAAAATTTGAATTAACAAGTGCAATATTTTTTAATATCCTTATTCGAATGATTGATATTTATCACTGTGAAAAATTTATGTCAGATTTATGTGAGAAGAAGTTCAAAATACCTTTTAATTAAAACACTGAATTATATTCTTTGCTCTGAGTTTTCACTTTCATATCTGACAACTAAATTTGAGCAAATCTTAAACTATTTTAACTTTGATATAATTTATAACATTTGTATTTAGAAACACGTATAAAACGAAGTATTTAGAAATGCAAAAAAAATAAATATTAAAGTTTTTGGAAAAGTTTTCAAGATTTGAATTTTTGTATTCAAAATTTTCTTTTGCACATTTTTAAATTTGTGCAAAAAAGTTTGATGTCAATATTAAGATCGATTTTCTATCAAGCAGCTTCTCCAAATCAAAGGAATAAAGGTCAGATAGGTACTCCAATTAAAAGACTTTTTTGATCTATAAGCGAATGTTTTATATCTACACAGGATCACAGATTATAATTGATTCACCATCGTGAGAAAGTTTGTGATTTCTACAATATCATTCCCGACTTTATAAAGTATGTGTATATATATGTAAATATATTCCGACCCCTTATAGGGAGCGGAGTCAATTTAGCTATCTGTGTGTCGGTATAGGTATGTTGAAATCAGTTTTCATAAGACCCCATATAACTGCGAGATCAGAATCATTTACAATTCTATCAGACATACTTTCGAGAAGTTTTCTATTTAAAATCAGCAAATTCGGTCCATAAATTACGGAGATATGAGCAAAATTCCTAAAAAACTCAGAACACATTAAAAACTTCCCATTTCAACCATCCCAAGATCCTTGTAAATAATCGATCCACTATTGATGTAGTGCAATGTAATGTTAAAGTGAAGAAATTTCACAACAACGATGATTTTATAAAGTTGTCGGACCATAAATTTCTTATGTTGCTAATTTTGGATTAATAACCAGAGAATGATATTAAATAATGAAGTTTCGAAACTATCACTATAGACTTGACAAGTCTATAAACTAGACTAGTCTATAGACTAGACTATAAACTTGACTATAGACTAAATTATTGATTAATCTATAGACTAGTCTATAGAGTAGACTATAGACTTTGACTATAGACTAGTATATAGACTCGACTATAGACTAGACTATAGAGTAGTCTATAGATTAGTCTATAGATTAGACTATATAGTCTAGTCTAGACTAGATTCTAGACTAGACTATAGACTAGTCTATAGACTAAGCTATAGACTTGACTATAGAGGAGACTGTAGACTTGACTATAGAGGAGACTATAGACTTGACTATAGACTAGTCTATAGACTAGACTATAGGCTAGACTATAGACTTGAATATAGGCTGGTCTATAGACTTAACTATAGGCTGGTCTATAGACTTAACTATAGGCTGGTCTATAGACTAGATTATAGACTTGACTATTGACTAGTCTATTGACTAGACTATAGACTAGACTATAGACATGATTATAGACTAGTCTATATACTTGACTATAAAATTTACTATAGACTAGTATAAAGACTCGACTATAGACTTGACTATGGCGTAGTCTATAGATAACCCCCTTATTCACAAACAAAATTTTTATTTTAAAAAAAGTTTATAAATTGGATTTTGTATGGAAATTTTGTTTTATAAACCTTTTATAAAATAAAAATGTTGTTTGTGAATAAGGGGGATAGTCTATAGATTAGACTATAGACTTGACTATAGACTAGTCTTTCGACAAGACTATAGACCAGTCTATATATTAGACTAAAGTCTATAGACTAGTCTATTGACTAGATTATAGACAAATCTATAGACTAGAATATAGACTAGACTATAGGCTTGACTATAGACTAGTCTATAGACTAGACTATAGACTAGTCTATAGACTAAGCTATAGACTTGACTATAGACTAGACTATAGACTTGACAATAGACTAGACTATAGACTTGACTATAGACTAGTCTATAGACTTAACTATAGGCTGGTCTATAGACTAGACTATAGACTTGACTAGTGACTAGTCTATTGACTAGACTATAGACATGACTATTGACTAGTCTATGGACTAGACTATAGACTAGTCTATAGTCTAGTCTATAGACTATTATACTACTTATCAAAAGTTTATAGGATAGAAAAAGTAGCGAAAATGTCAAAAAAGTACTGAATTTTTCATGCCTGTTGCTAATAATAATGTCTACTATCCATTACTTGATTATAATTGCATAAACCATCAAAAATGTTCACTTTTATTTAATATTTTTGTCACTTCCTTGCAGAAGGATTAGTCCTGCCACAGAAATTTCCATTCTTATCGAATGCGGAATGATTTTTTTATTATTACAACTACGGAATTGAATTAGGAATGCGTGACAGGGGTGAATATTTTATCCATAAGCGCGAGATTCTTAATTATTACAATTAATATTTAAACATTTTCAATATTTCTTTGTTAAATTTGGCAAACAATTAGTGTGAGAAAATTTAAAATAAACATTATTATTAAAATAAAATATTTATTACCGCTTTTTATTATAAATAATATTCCAGAACCAGAAATAAACATGCAATTCCTGTATACAAATAAATAAATATTATAAAATATTTATAAAAATTCACTGCCAGTTATTATATAAATATTTATATTAATTTAATAATAATAATATTTCTTTGTTGAAGATAGCAGCCATATGCAAGAGTTATCATACGTAAGATTTAAATTATTACATTATATTTTAATAATTTTTATAAAACAATAAATTATAACAATTTAAAATAAACAATGCCAATGATTGGAAAAAGAAGGCACAAACCACACACACACATACACACAAAGGCATAAATTAAATTTAAAACGAACTGGGTCGATATTTTAAAAAAATGCAATTTTCAAAAATTCAAAAAAGTTTATTTCTTCTTTCTACTACATAATGTATGAATTAATTTTCTACATACAAATGTTTAGTTATTTAAAAATGTTTATGTCATGTGCTGCTGCTCTACATAAATAAATTTATTTACAATTTTCTATTTTTTAGAAATAAAATTTTTGGATAATCACACAAGCACACAAATAAAATCGCAATAAATGCATTTTTATTTTTATTTTTTTTTTTTTATAATTTAAAATGCTTGAGTTTAAGTTAGTCGTCTATTAAAAAAATCAATCAATTGCAATTTTACATAATTTTTATAAATGTTTTATAATTGTACTTTTTTTGTTCTTCCTTCAGTAACGCATAATTGATGACGAATTGACTAGAACGAAGGAAAACATCATCATATTTCAAAAACATCATCTAATTTCAATTGCAGACATTACGCCCTCTTTCAACAATGAAGCAACCAATTATTCGAATATTATTTTTAACCCTAATTGGTCTCAGTTTAGTGGAATTAACACCAGCTCAAGTCACGTAAGTAGCATTAAAAAGCAAATAATACTATTTATAATTAGTAGACATAGTTATAATCTTTAAGCATATTAACAAAGAACTTTGAAAGAACCCTTTCTATAACTCTGAACAAGTTTCAAATTAGATCAAGTCCATAAATATTTTTTTTCAAATAATTTATAATATTCAATATCAATTAAATAAAAAAGATTGTTGTAAAAATTTATTTAAATATTGAAATTTATGACAGTTTAGTTAAAATCATAGATTGAATGTTTATTTTAATTGAAATAGTTCATTAATTAAAATTAAAACTGCATAAACAAAGTTAAGTTCAGTGACTTTAATTTGTGCATTAGTTTTTCCCATCCTTTCATTCACAAGCAGCTGTAAGTAATATTAAGGAGTGAGCACAAAATAATGCTGCACAGATCGTTTAAATAAAGTGGAATTGATGGTTTTTTATTAATCCTCTTGGTTCTATGGTTGATTACAAAGCTTCTTCAACTGGAACAGAAATAGAACAGAACTTGAACAGAACTAGAACAGGAACTGAACAGAACTAGAACTGAACTAGAACTGAAATAGAACTGAACTAGAACTGAACTAGAACTGAACTAGAACTGAACTAGAACGAACTAGAACTGAACTAGAACTGAACTAGAACTGAACTAGAACTGAACTAGACAGAACTAGAACTGAACTAGACGAACTAGACTGAACTAGAACTGAACTCGAACTGAACTAGAACTGAACTAGACGACTACTGCACTAGAAACTGAAACTAGAACTGAACTAGAACTGACACTAGAACTGAACTAGAACTGAACTAGAACTGAACTAGAACTGAACTAGAACTGAACTAGAACTGAACTAGAACTGAACTAGAAACTGAACTAGAACTGAACTAGAACTGAACTAGAACTGAACTAGAACTGAACTAGAACTGAACTAGAACTGAACTAGAACTGAACTAGAACTGAACTAGAACTGAACTAGAACTGAACTAGAACTGAACTAGAACTGAACTAGAACTGAACTAGAACTGAACTAGAACTGAACTAGAACTGAACTAGAACTGAACTAGAACTGAACTAGAACTGAACTAGAACTGAACTAGAACTGAACTAGAACTGAACTAGAACTGAACTAGAACTGAACTAGAACTGAACTAGAACTGAACTAGAACTGAACTAGAACTGAACTAGAACTGAACTAGAACTGAACTAGAACTGAACTAGAACTGAACTAGAACTGAACTATTGAACTAGAACTGAACTAGAACAGAACTAGAACTGAACTAGAATAGAACTAGAACAGAACTAGAACTGAACTAGAACTGAACTAGAACTGAACTAGAACAGAACTAGAACTGAACTAGAACAGAACTAGAACAGAACTAGAACAGAACTAGAACAGAACTAGAACTGAACTAGAACAGAACTAGAACAGAACTAGAACAGAACTAGAATAGAACTAGAATAGAACTAGAACAGAACTAGAACAGAACTAGAACAGAACTAGAACAGAACTAGAACAGAACTAGAACAGAACTAGAACAGAACTAGAACAGAACTAGAACAGAACTAGAACAGAACTAGAACAGAACTAGAACAGAACTAGAACAGAACTAGAACAGAACTAGAACAGAACTAGAACAGAACTAGAACAGAACTAGAACAGAACTAGAACAGAACTAGAACAGAACTAGAACAGAACTAGAACAGAACTAGAACAAAACTAGAACAAAACTAGAACAGAACTAGAACAGAACTAGAACAGAACTAGAACAGAACTAGAACAGAACTAGAACAGAACTAGAACAGAATTAGAACAGAAGTAGAACAGAAGTAGAACAGAACTAGAACAGAACTAGAACAGAACTAGAACAGAACTAAAACAGAACTAAAACAGAACTAAAACAGAACTAAAACAGAACTAGAACAGAACTAGAACAGAACTAGAATAGAACTAGAACAGAACTAGAACAGAACTAGAACAGAACTAGAACAGAACTAGAACAGAACTAGAACAGAACTAGAACAGAACTAGAACAGAACTAGAACAGAACTAGAACAGAACTAGAACAGAACTAGAACAGAACTAGAACAGAACTAGAACAGAACTAGAACAGAACTAGAACAGAACTAGAACAGAACTAGAACAGAACTAGAACAGAACTAGAACAGAACTAGAACAGAACTAGAACAGAACTAGAACAGAACTAGAACAGAACTAGAACAGAACTAGAACAGAACTAGAACAGAACTAGAACAGAACTAGAACAGAACTAGAACAGAACTAGAACAGAACTAGAACAGAACTAGAACAGAACTAGAACAGAACTAGAACAGAACTAGAACAGAACTAGAACAGAACTAGAACAGAACTAGAACAGAAAGAACAGAACTAGAACAGAACTAGAACAGAACTAGAACAGAACTAACAGAACTAGAACAGAACTAGAACAGAACTAGAACAGAACTAGAACAGAACTAGAACAGAACTAGAACAGATCTTGAACAGAACTAGAACAGGACTGGACAAAAGCTTCTTCAGATTTCGAACAATATTGTAAAAACAAATCAAATCAATTTCTTTCGATAATTTTAACAATATTTCAAGTTTTTACTAGTTTTAGATACGGAAATGATTCTATTTGATAGATGACTATGTTTTGATCTGCAAAACGTTGATTAATTTCACAAGAAATAGCTAAATTAAACCGTAGCTAAAGAAGTTAAAATAAAATCGATTGGAATATTAACTAGGAAATTGAAAGAATTTCAATCCGAAATTTAGGAACTTTCAAAAGTATATATCTTAACTTAATAATTCAACTAATTTAATAACCAATTTATTTCGTTCGCACTCCTTTATCCAACAATAATACACGCATTTAAAAGAAGTCAATGCCATCATAAGTAGAATAAATTAATTCAAATATTTTTCAAATTTCCCATTCGTTTACTCCTCTTATGTAGGCAATTATTAGGGTAACAACTATTTAAATTGAAGTATTTATAATAGATTTGTCGGTTTTCCTTTTCAAGATCTTTTATGAATAATCAATTTTATTTCAAATATTTAAATTAATAGCATTCATAGATTTACAATACATAAACATTTCAAATAAAGTTTAACTATGGTTTGAACCATAGCAGAAATAAATAAAACTATTGATTTTAATAAACTTCTTTCTTCTACAATTGATTCTTTTCTCTGCAAATTTTGTACTTAAGGCAACATTCAATGAAAGAGTGGCTGGCAATGCAACACACAAGTACAAATGGTGTGTGGTGCCTTCGTTATACTACATATCAAGTGGCACATTCATTCATTACATCATAGCGCCGCCTTGTTCATTTTTTTTCTCTTTTTTTCTACTTCTAATAATGATGCAAAGGGCATGAACAAGATCAACAGACGCACAGAAATTATAGTAATAAAAAAAATATGAATAACTTCTAGAGTCACAGACTACATAGATCCAAACAAATTGATAGATAGATGATGGTCTTTGTTATAGAACAAAAAAATATATATTGGGGGAGAGAATTGACAAAGACAAACAAATGATTTTAAGTAGATTTTCATGTTAAATTTTTTTTGTGCGGAAATAAGTTCTCCTCTTTCTTCTGACATTTTTTTCTTTTCAGTTTACAATAATTTATCAAACTTGAAATGGGAATATTAGTTTTTATTATCGAACTTATATTTTCCCTTTTGTTTTGAGTAAATAATAATAATCCATCATGTTACTTAATGCATTTCGAAAAATAGGGGGTCAACTTTCTAAAGATTTTTTTATATTTTGTTTTTAAAAATAAACCATTTAAAATGCAGTCTAATTCCTAGAAACATTTTTCCATTTTTTTTAATAACTTAAGAGGAGCAGGCATACAATATTTAGTTTTTTTTATAATGTTGAGGGTTCTATCATGTTTGTGTCATTTTTGTATTTATTTTTAGAAAATATTGTACAAATTTATATTGTACTTGTGCATTGGATGTTGTTGATGATGACAACGTTGTTGCACTATGGTGGCATCCATGCCACTTTAACGGAGTGTTGACATGCAAATTAATGTAGAGTCATTAAGAAACAAGTTACTATGAGTCTACATATGAATTTTTATAAAGTGGATATTTAGAAAATATACAAAAAATCTTAAATTATGAAAATGATTTTGAAATAATGTTTGAATGATATTCATTTCGAAAATTGCTTTATCGGATTTAACAGATTAAGGCAAGTTTTCTAGAGAGTGCTTTTTATTGAATTAAATAATTTTCAAAGCGTTTTGATGAATTTGTGAAAAAAATCATTAAAGGAATCAATTTTAATATTACTATAATAAAATATTAAAAAAATATATAATAAAGTTCGCGGTACCTTTAGGATCTTAGAAATTGTTTATTTTTAATCTTTTTTTTTAACATTTTCTTTCTCTTTCCATTTTATTTAGTCTCGCTGATATCCGCGGCACTCTACAATCTCTAATTTATTCTTACAATCAGTTGGATAATAAATTAGAACGACATGAACATCGTGAAAGGGCCTTGGGTGAATTATTAAAAAAAGGAATGATGGCCTTGCAAAAGGGTCAAAAGAATTTGGAACCTATAAATGGTATATTCTCGCGTTTGGATGAGCGCGTCAGTCAAATAGAAACAATGTTAATAGCGGTAAATATTAAGTTAATTTTAAGAAATTTCCCCATTCTGCATTTTGATTAGGTTTACGCGTTCAGTTACATAACGATCAAAAAACGATATTATAACATATATAAAACGGAATTGTAAGAAAAAGAAGAAGCAGTTGTTATTTTAGTGACGGAGCGAGCGTCGAATCGAAATGCAGAATATCAAAGTTGCGAAGAAAATTTCATTTCGAATTGAAATTTAGAATAGGGATGAATATAAAAACAAGGACCTAATTACCAGTTAGTAGGATTTTTAGTAAATATTGATTTTTTTTAGTAAAAATTAAAATTTATAGAAAAAATTTAATTTTTGGTGAATAAATAGATTTTTAGTAAAATAGTTTTTAGTCAAAAATTAAATTTTATTGAAGAATTGAGTTTTTAGTTAAAATTTTAACTTTTAGTAAAAATTATACTTTTAAGTAAAAAAAAATATAAAATATTTCAGTGAAAAATTAAGCTAAAATCCAAATTTTAGTAAAAAACAAAATCTATTCTCAGTAAAAAAAAAATCGTTTCAAATATCCATCATTATGCTGTAAACCGATTCTTAACTAAAATTTTTCAAATTCACCTTCCTTTTCATTCCCACCTTTAGCAAGAAGAAAAGTATAACATACAAACCGAAAAACTGGGAGAAGTTTTAGAACGTATCTTCAAATGGATGCAAGAGAATGATGAATGCTATAAACGACCACCAGTAACACCAGGTGCTGCCTTAGTGGCAGCCATCAAACCAGCAGAGCCCGCCATACCACCATCGTTTGTCAAGGATCAAGAGGAAATTAATAAAAAACTTATAAACCACATGACAACGTTAACGCAAAATGTTGACAAACTATTAGACGTTTCAAACAATATGCTCGAGCACACAGAAGTGGCCTTCAAAACAAGTCCTGTTACCCAAGAAAAACTATCGAAGATAGAGGATCATTTAGTTAGTTACAGTATGACTACACCAGCACCACCCCCACCAGCACCAGTTATAGTACAAGCCAATAATACGGTATTCGAAAATAAGGTTATTAAAATGTTCGAAGATGTTAACACCGGTTTGGCTCAACTTAAGGAAACGCCTGCTCCAGAAATGGGTCTTTTAATGGCTGACAAAGAGTTTATACAAAGTTTAAATAATGAAACACTTAATGCTTTGGAAAATGTTAAAGCTAAAATATTAGAAGCCTCAGAAGAGGGTAAGTAGTAATTGTAGTTGTAATGTATTATTTAATCTCTATTAAATTCTTATCTCTTAAAAATGTTTATTAAAATTGAATACTAATTATTTTTACCTTGAGTAGTGAAATTAACAAGTGATTTGTAATGAATGTCATATTTAGAGATTATTTTATAAGTCAATAATGATCTGAGTCTTAATTTTAATTTTGTTTTTTTTTATGCCGTTTACAGCTGTTACAAAAACTTCCACTGCAGTTGAAACTCACGGCAAGAATTTGGCTTCAAACATAGAAACTGTACAAAAGAATGTGGTGGACTCTGCTGAAATCTTGGATAGATTCTATACTGAAATGAATAATAGTTATACTAAATTCAATGAAGGTCTGGAAATCTTTAGTAAATTCAACAATATTCTCATGACTAATTCCGAATATGTATTGGATACACAACGTAAGGTTGAATTCGGTACTGTGCAAATTGTACAGAAAATAAGCGACAATTTGGAAAAACAAAAAGATGAATTATTCGAAATAATGAAAGAACGTTTTGACAATGTCGACGAAATGATGATGACCAATCAAATTGAAACTATGCAGAATTTCTCTTCTATAATTGAAGCGGAAATCACACAAGTATGGCATCAAATCTCTATAATGCATGAAGAACTAAGTGATACCAAGGATCTGCTAAAGTCGGTGGATGCACGCAATGAATTGGCTGTCAATAGTACTTTTGATAGCGTCAATATAATGGGTCTTAAAGTGACAGACATTAAAGATCGTATGCTAGATATGGATTCAAATTTAAATTATCTTTTGGGTAAATTATCGATAATTTCACAAGAATTTAATAACATTAAGAAAGGCCTGGGTGAATCTCTAGAGGAACTGCATAAAACATTCGAAGAAATTCAAAATAAAATGCCACAAATATCTGCCGAACAACCAAATTTGGGAAAATATGAAACGGAATTGAAATTGTTATCGAAACGTAATATTTTAACTTAAATTCCTTATGAAATGTTAACATTTAATTTATAAATATATTAAAATTTAAATGAATACAAACAGATGCGCCCCTGGGCATATGTAGTGTAGTGTTATTCGTAGTTTAAAAAAAAGAACGGCAAAATTAAGTAACAAATATTCTTAATAGGTTTTAAGTTTTAATATTGTTTTGCTTAAATTAATATTATGTTTACTAAATATTTGTATGTACGAGCATATTAATGCAAATTGCTTTTAATGTACTTTATTTTATTTACAAATGTATTAATTTACCAAAAAATAATAGGTGCCAAATAATAAATAAATAAAAATTAAAAAAAAAAAAAAACGAAATTAATAACTGTGACTTAATTCTTACAAATATTTAGTTTTAGAAAACTTTAAATCTCTAAATCATCCGAAATGTAAATTACAAACAGTATAACTGATACACTTACCCCTTCTTTATCCTGGTAAAATTAGTTTCCGCTTCCTTATTTCCATTTGTGTTTTAACACTTCCTCTCTACACCATTCTATTCATTTTGACAAAACAAAAACTCCAGCACATTTTTATTTTCGGCATAATTTAACTTAACAATTATTGTTATAATTTATTTTACGAAATTGTTTATTAACAACATTTTCACTTCATTGTTTAAGTTAATTTTTTAAATTACAATTTGCTAACTTAAATATTGAACTTAACTTAAGTCATTTGTTATTTATAGTGAATATTTCTTGCACTTAACTTAAAAACAAACTCACTTTTCTATAAACTCCTTTATACACATAATTAATTTTTTTTTAGAATCATATAGTTCACAGTTTAAAATAAAAACCATTAAGAAAGCCTTAAACTCCGGCACATTCTCTCCCAGACATTAGAATATAAAAGAAAATATTTATAATATTAACTATTTACCCCATCTTTGTTCAACACGTGAGTATTTGTATAATATTTGGGCAAAAGTTTTCACGTCAAAACGTTGCCCCTTGGCGTGTAGGTGGAATTCGGTGAAACGTGTATGCCATGGCAACATACCATATGTACATAAATTATCATCGAATATAATACTTAATTCGGGTTCTGTTAAATTCCCCAGATGTTGAGAAAGTTCCTCGCTTAAACGTTCCGTTAGTGTTGTTCTGTCTTTTAGGAGATTTTGTATTTCTGTGGTGTGTCGTTGTTCGAAAAGATCTCGACATATTTGCGCTATAAGGGAGTGATTATTTTGTGGTTGGATTTCATAGATCTGAAAGAAAAGGATGTGAATAATTTAAGATTAAGATAGCTTGTTGGTTTAAAAATTAAAACTTATTTCTTGAGTTTAATAGGATTTTCGACCTAGCGTCAATGAATGATAGATAGATAGATAGATAGATAGATAGATTGAATGTCAAATTAAAATTTTACCACAAAAATCGATTTTTAGTGAAAAATCAAATTTTGAGTTATATATCAGCTTTTGAAATGAAAAGTGATTTTAGCGTTAAGTTAAAATCTAAAATCAAAGCAAAATAAATTTCTGTCTGGTGGCGTATGATGAATATAAATAAATCATGCTCTATAGGTTCAAAATTTATAACCGCTAAACATAATCAATAAAAAATTATTTTGGATGAAGTTTCGAAAATGTGTTTAAATGGATAGACGAGTATTTTAGTGGATAAAGTGCAAAACAGAATATGCTTAAGGGAATTGTTTGTTCTTCTATCTATCTATCTATCTATCTATCTATCTATCTATCTATCTATCTATCTATCTATCTATCTATCTATCTATCTATCTATCTATCTATCTATCTATCTATCTATCTATCTATATACATATGTATGTATGACTTTTCAAATGCAGTATGCTTCCTTGCTATGTAAAAAGACGCAATAATTGTTGATTTTTAACATAGTAGTGCTAAATCGAAAAAGAATTCTTATCACTTCAAACATAAATCAATTTGATATCAAAGTTCAATTAAAGTTATGTTTGTATTGAACTGCAAACAAAAAATAGTCATGGAAATAGTTGTAGAATTTAGGTGATATGGAAAAGTCGACGTTGCCAGACTTGCTTATCTTTTTCAAACATAAAAACAAACACAAACTTTAATAAATATTTGATAATCTAATAAGGTGTTAATTAAACTTCAAGTTAGAAAAACCTAAGCAAATCAAAATGCTCTCAACAATTGCCTGCATTTTACCAAAATTTCATAAACTTCTTTAATATTGAAAAAGACTTTTTATTTTTATTGTTAGCACTAAATAGAAAAATTGGATATAGAATTGATAAGAAAACTCTTACAAAAAAACAATAACCACTTTACCTCTATTGATGTATTCTCCAAAACAGTTGTTGATGACTTAGGCAAATGACCATTTGTTATTGTTGACTTAGGTGTATTACTCACACCATTAACACCGTTAATCCCATTTTTAACCAAACCGTTTGATGTCTCATCTTTGCAAATATACCACACGGAATGATGGGTATCAACATTTTTTCTTTTCCAGCCTTTAGGACAACTTAGTTTTTCTAAAGCAGTTAGGCGTGATGTGTTCGAGGCATTCGTATAACGTGTATCATAATAGCTGATGCAATTTATGTTCATATGTAAAGCATAGGTAAAGATGTGTGCTAGTAGTTCATCATTAACCTGGGTATTCTCTGGACCAATGATTAAATTAATATGTTTTGGTATTTTGTTTAGGTGTTTTTTACATTGTTGCAGTAGATCGTATTCATTCTGTTCTCGTTCTGCTGGCGTACGGCAGAGATCATATGACCATAGAGCAAAAGCAATTAAACGTAAACGCAGCCACAAACAAAACTCAAACAGAGAGACAAGGTTGTGCAGCAACTGCCACAGAAATTTATAAATGCAAATTGTGAACTGACCCATGTGCACGGATTTTCAGCTTAACAAAATTGCCGGAATGTTGCTGTTTATTGTAGTAATATTCGAAATTTATGAAAGTACAAAGTAGACCAGTTCCCAAGAAGTTCACCACCTAACCTTAGATAAGGTTTAAATAATAATTTAGTTTAAAGTTTTTGTAAGTTTAGAAAAATGGTATTACTTGTCTCTTGCTTCAATAAGTTTAGGTATCGAGCTCTATTTTATGATATCTAACATTTTCACTTATGCTTTCTGCGTGTAAATTTCTTATCAAGTTAACAAAATTTAAACACCAAATATTCCATTTAGCACCTATTTTTTAACAATCACTATTTTTCTCTCGTTACCCGGCTGTATCTCAATTTTTCTTTTTACTACAAATGTCAACAAGTAATAAAGTTGCCACATTATTTTGATGGCTGTTTCCTGTTAAAAAATAAATTATACCCAAAAAATCCTAAATTTTTAGTTTTTTAAATTATTATTTGGTTTTATGTTACAGCTGATAATACTTAATATTTAAATAATAACAAAGCTAATTAACAGAAATAATAAAAGTTAACTTCTTATGGATTTGTAAAAATTCATTTTCAAATGTATACTCAGAAAATGTTAAATATTTCCAAAAAGCTTTGCAAATTCCCGTCAACAAATTTCCTAGTCTGGCAAGCCTTTGCTGTGACAGCTGAGAGAAAATACACACGTCAGTGCATTACTAATAAGTAATGCCAATTTTTGTTATTTCTTGCTATACGGCATCACTAACTTTTATGTCTAAGAACTTGGCATAACTTTTGCTGAATTCTCTGAATAAGAAAAAGCTAAACAGTGATGTTAACATATGTTTTCTTTAATTCTGTGAATTATGTGCAAAAAAATAAAAATAGCTAAAATTTATTTTTATCTAAATTTTTTGATATATTGACAAATCATTTGATATTTCTCTTATTTTTAAACGACATATAAAACAATGCTTATAATCTTTTATAATTATAAGCAAATTTTAATGAATATTAAAAAATATATATTATTCTAAATCGTGGAAGTCTTGAAATAAAACATATCAAAGTATTACTATTATCTTTTATCTCAAGAGAATTTTTTTGTTTTAAATATAAAATAAATTTTTAAATATTAGTTGTGTTTTGTTGCTAACGTTCAAAGGCAATTTCATATAAATTTAAAATTTATAAACGTTAGGAGTTAACGTGTAAAATTATACAAGTTAATTTTAACGTCGATAAAAGTGCTACCAATTCAAAAATAAAAATACAAATATTAATGTGTTTATGTCAAACAATAAAAAAATATTTTAAAATAAAATTTAAATCAAAAAAAAATATCAAATAAAAAAACCTTTTTTAAGAAAATGTAAATAATTTCAAGATTTAGCAGATTTCTTCTGTGGAGTGATGCCAAGTCAGGTAATGTTCGTTTTGTTGCTAACTTTAAGCGTTAACACTCATTGATAGCAACAAAACACAACTATTATCACTCTTTTTATAGTTCTTCCATATAAGCAAAGACAACACTCAAAAATCGCTATAATTTCCGCTACTTTTCAAAAATTTCTTTTCCTCGCTGAATCGCTAAATTAGCATAAAAACTAGCTAAATTATCTACACTGAACCAGCTGAATTACCTTTTTTGCACAGTTGTTGGTTTCTTGTTCGACGAATCGTTTGCAATATTTTTCAATTGTTTTTAAATCTACTTAATTGTGAAAATTATTAAAAAAAATTATCACAGGAAGAAGATAAAACTCCTGCCTGACGATAAATATATCAAGGTAAGTTGTATTTAAATTATTTACATTGTAAAACAAGGAAGAAAAATCAACAAGAAAAAAGTGCATATTGCAAAAATGAAAAATGTATTGGAAAAAAGTTGTTGTAGAAGAAAGTATAGGAAAAGCCGGCTTTTTTGGTTAAAAGGGGGAGGTTTGTTGCACTAAAAATTTATGGGTGGTGGCTGTTTGTTGGTACCTTTAAGCAATTTCCTTAATATTATTGACAGACTGCGCGTCTTTGTAATAAATTAGAGGCGACAATATTATTATTAAATTGGCATCTTGAAAGATGAAAATGAATTTAAGTGGATAAAAATAAAATAAGTAGGTATATTATGCATACGTTGTTGGTTGGTTTGTGTGTAGGTGGTTGTGTATTATTTTTTTTCATTTTTCTAAATGAACTTTCCTTGTACCACAGCAAGAAAACCAACCAATGTTTCTAATTGGATGCCAACTAACGGATGTTTACGGATTTGAGACAGCTGTTCGTTTATTTTCTACATTTGTAACATACACACGATTTTTTTGTGTTCTTCGTTCCATTTTTAATTCTTTCTTCATCGCCAAAGAATCTCATACAGTTTTCTTTTTAGAAAATTTAAATGCGTGTGTATTCGTGGTAAATTTCTTAACTTATTTTTTTATTTTGTTGTTTAATGATAATAAGCATATTTATCAGTTTGTATTGTTGTTTTTGGGTATGTGAACGAGTAGTTGTTGCAGTCCAATAGCCTTTTGCTGTTATGACTCATTCTATTTATTATTGTTTTTATTTTTTTGTTATTTTCTCATTCTATGATGTGGTTTACTATTTTTAGTTTGTCTTTGAAATCCAAAATATTGTGGATTTGTCATCAACAAAAGCTAATGTATGACCCTTCTCTCGTTCATTACAAGGTCGGGCAAAATAAAGTTTAACTTAAATATGGAGTTATTCTTTTCAACTTTTATCGATATCATGAGAAAATTATTTTTCTTGTTTGTTGTTTTCATACAAGATTTTACTATATTCATTGACGATTGTGGTCCCGATTGATTACAATATGAAAATAGTACTTTAGCAAAGACAAAAACCATATTGTTTAACAGAGTTTAGTTACGGACAGACCAGTCGTACCTCAGATTTAAAATCTTAATTATCTGGGTGATAAGTGTCTTTCAAAGTCCCCAGGTGACTATTTATTTTCAATGTTCTGAATTTTTCCTCAATTAGTTTCAATATAATCTACTTGGTGTCTAAGTTAATTTACCTCATGTTCTCAACGAGTTTATAAAATAAAACGCTACCATTTTTGCAGTTTATTTTCTTTTTTATAATGTAATTATTAAAAATAAAATTGCCACATACCTATTAATATGATCTATTACATTTAAAGTATCAAGTTCACATAAACTATTCACATTGTTTCTTTTTTTTCTATATTTTTCATAATGCCAACCACTGTGCATTGTGGTTTCAGTTTTATAACATTTGTGAAAATATGGAATAAAAAAATAAAGAAGTAAAGTAAAAGCAAAAACAAATAAATTATATCTGTTGTTATTGTACAATAAATATAAATAGACAGACAAATATAGAATGTCGAGAAGAATTCAACCAAAATAATACTTTTGCCATATAATAAGTATATGAATTATTTTTCCAATACAATTAACAAAATTTTTGCACTCATTTTATAATTCTTCAATATTATTTATTCTTAACATTGGAACAAAGTCAAAGAAAAACAATTTGAGCAAACACTTTTATATTTAAAACTAGGTTCATTGTAAGTTACATCAATAAATAAAATGCCCTTATAATATTCCATTTGAATGTACATATAGTTAAGTTGAACATATTAAATTAATGTCATTGGCTTTTTAACATCATTCGCTATTTGGGCAAATGCATTTATTTATGTATCAGGTCTGTGAACAAGTTTCCTTATTCAACTATAATACTGTTAACTGAAACAAACATAAAACTGTTTTAGCAATTTTAATTGATTGAATAAATGAAAATGCAAAAAAAAAAAAATACCTTTTTGGCTAGCAGCAATAAACGTACAAGCATGTATGAAACTTATACGTACATACATTAGGGAGGTCTATATTTCAACAAACCAAATAATAATTTCAGTTCATTTTAATTTTGAGTAATTTTGCGGTTTTGATATTTTATATTTATAGTAATTTTGTGGTTTTATTAAATCGAATTCTAGTAAGTTTTTTTATATATATAAAATACGATATTTCTTAAACACACTAATATTCTTGTTATATTTGTATCCATTTATTTATTTATACCTTCGTTATTTAATGAATGAATGATATGTTCTTGGTTTGCTTCGTTTAATGTGGGAAATTAATTGATTGTCATCAATTATGTACAAACATTGATAAAACTTATATTATGTTGTTTGAGTTCATTTCATGTGCAATTACATCTGCATAGTAGTGAGATGTAAACATATGTATGAATTTATTTATAAATTTTTAACCATATTAATTCGTTCAATTATATTTGTGTTCATTATTGAAAACTCTATATTCTTAATGTTTTCACAAAAAAAAATATATTTAAATGAAAATTTTCACTTAAAATTCGATATTCATTAAAAATCTGATAAAAATTAGATTTTTTTCACAAAAAATTTTATTTTTACCACAATCTGAAATTTATAGCTAAAATTTTAAATTTCATTAGAAACTCAAATTTGCACTAAAAATTTCAAAAAGTTCATTAAAGTTTAAAAAATAATTTTTTCACCCAAATTTAATTTTTATAAAAAAAAACTATTTAAAAATTAAAAATTTCAATAAATTCATTCCAAATATGAGAACTTACTCTGCAATGTGGCTATGAACACCTTACTAAATGATCTAGATAAAAGAAGAATTAAGACTGTCGCTTAGGCTGACGATGTTGCGGTAGTGATATCAGGTAAATTCCTCGAGTACCTTGGGTTGATCCTTGACAGTAAACTATCCTGGAATACGAATATCCAAAACAGGATAAATAAGGCTAATTAGTTATTTACACTTGTAAGAGAGCGGATGGTTCCAACTGCTGGCGTTAATTCTAAAGGTATTAACTAAATCTTCAAAGCAGTTGTTAAGCCCATACTATTCTATGGTGTTATCGTAAGGTGGCAGGCAATGGAAAACTCTTCTCATTGTGCAGCCATCGAACGTACCCTACGAAACATTGCAATCCTGATCACGCGAGCAATGAGGAGGACGTCAACGAAGGCTCTGCTAACTATAATGAACTGGTTACAAGCTGACCTGATGGCTATTCAACTGACCCTTAATTCAGCATTCAGATTAAACGCATGTGGTTTGTGGTCTGGTAGTAAAGGCATATGGCACACACGAATAATTAAACACTTCGAATCCTTGCATCTTAATGTAGACTATAGCCTAAACCTCACTTCGAAAGACGCTTTCATATCCGAGTTCGTGCTAGGAATTCAGTACCTGAATCCCACTCAACTAATGGTGTAACAAATGTTTACACTGACGGCTCCAAGAGGAGTGGAAGGATGGGTGGAGGTTTTTACATTGAAATATTTGGAATTAAATCCTCTTTTATGCATCCT